AAAAAAAAAAAGCATTAATTTTTAAAACCCTGTAGATTAGCTATAGGAAAAGACTTGAAGAAATACCCATTAAGAGACAGCAGAAATCTCAGATTCTTTCCTGTGTCAGAAGTTGATCAAATGATCAGCGGTTCTTAAATTTTTCCACCAGGATCAGTTAAAATGCTCCTATGCCTGACAGATACAGAATTAGAACCACCTCTTCCTTCTTTAACTCTACTCTCCTTCTCCTGCTGATCCAGGGCAGATGTGTTAGGATAGTCTAGGGAATATTCCAGATCACATTTAAATATTTTGCCTTACAGATTGTTCAAGATTGCGCATGATGGTAGTTTTCATAATGAGTTAGTAGGGTGAGATGAAAAATATGACACTGTATCCCCAAGTACTATTACAGCTATTAGTCGATTAATAACCCTCAGTCTAGTATGGTTGTGAAGACTGATGTCTAACAATTGTTTCTGCTAATTTCTTCAGGGAGAACATCTTTGGCTGTACGGTATTGCTGACTGACATTTTTCTAGATGGTCTTGAACAGCCTACTTCTATGTAAATAACTAGCTAGACTTCACATTTTCCACTGCAGACACTTACAACCTAGAGTTGCCAGAGATTTAGAAATACTACTTTGAGGATATCACCTGCATTTAACCTGAAAGCTCTTCCTGTCTTATTCTAAAATGTTGAGATACTGGGGAGAGATACCAATCTCATCAAGCCAGACTAACAGAAGCTCCTTTGACTTGCTCCCACGGGAGTTCCGTCTGGTGGAAGTCCATGACCCACCCTTGCACCAACCCTCAGCCAGCAAGTCTAAGCCCCCCACTGTGTTGGACATCCCCTCAGAGCCAGGCAGTCTCACTATCCACACCATCCAGCTGATCCAACACAACCGACGTCTACGCAGCCTCATCGCCACAGCTCAGGCCCAGAATCAGCAGCAGACGGAAGGTGTAAAGACTGAAGAGAATGAACCTCTCCCCTCTTGTCCTGGGTCCCCTCCTCTTCCTGATGATCTCCTGCCTTTTGATTGCAAGAATCCCAATGCACCATTCCAAATTCGGCACAGTGACCCAGAGAGTGACTTTTATCGGTAAGGCAAGGCTTTGTTGTGTCTTACTTTTTCAAGAATATCTTCCCAGCAGTCCTGTTGAGCATGTAATAACATTTCATGAGGAAACTGAGGATAAGAATAATTGACTTGGCCAAGATGCTCAAGATGTTCTTGAATCCTGGTCTTCCAAATGCCCAGTCTGTATTTTTTTTTTTTTTTTGTGATGCAACAAATATTTGCATGTAGACATGTACCATGCACTTCACTCAGAGAGGACAGGGGCATATAAGATGGCTCTGGCCTCAGTCCTCCAGTCTTCCTAGTTAGCTTAAAATGAATATTATCAGTTTAGTTCCGTGTCCTCAAATTAAGATTCATGAGTTTAATCAGATGTTATTAGAAATCCACAGGTTTTATTGAAGAATTTTTAATTGTATATTTTATTTTGACATCATATAAAAGTATTCTTGATCCTTGCTGCTCAAAATCTTATCCACCACCAGCTGGGGGCTTGTTAGCTATGCATTCTCAGGGCCCACTCATAGCTGCTGAAGCAGAATCTTTATTTTAATAAGCTCTCCATGGATTTGTGTGCACACTGAACTTTGAGAAACTCTGCTCCACCTCCCCTGAATGACTGCTTACAACCTAGCACGACAAGACTTCAGTGTGTAAGTTTTAACTTGGTGCCACATAATCAATTTTTCTCATTTAAATAGTTGTATAGTGAACACCCCAATCTATTTCATTTCATCAGATGTTAACATTTTGTCATATTGATTCTATCATGTATATGTACACACACGTGTGTGTCCATGCATGTATGTGTACATATATACATAAATCTATAAACAGTAATTGTTAATAAGTCCAGAGTTTTATAATTGTCCCCAAAATACATTATATATATCTACACACACACACACACACACACACACACACACATACACACACATATATTTCCCAACCCAGAGCCAGAGCCTAAGATTCCTATATTATATTGTTATGCCTCTTTAGTGTCTTTTAAGCTGATACAGCTTCCCCCATTTTAAAAAAATGGTATTAATCTTTTTTATTATTAAATTTTTTATATCATTCTTCATTTTGTGCATTTTTTCATCTGATATTACTTTTCTTATAAAATGTCCCACTTTCTATATTTGCTCATTATTTCTTCAAGATTAGATCCAAATTAAATATATTTGGCAAAATACGTGGTATTCCATCACTTATTGTACTAACCTGTTGGTGGTGATAGTTACTGTTTTAGTTGTCCCAAGCTAATGAGCCAAGAACAGAAACAGGCTGAATAAGCAAGGCTGCGGGTAGGCCAGGTGAAGACCACGCCAAGGTCCACTGCATCGCTGAAGGTGCTGGTGCTGGAACAGGGAAAAGGAGAGTGGCTAAGCACATGCACAGTACGGACACAGGAATGCCTCAGGAGTGCGCAGTCGGTAACATATGTGCATTTTTGGAGTAATTTAATCCGAACAAAATGTCATCTTATTAAATTGATGACATTATTTAGAATTTTGTAGTTGTTTTGTCAAATTGTTCATTTTAACTGTTAGAAACAGCTGTGAACATCAAAAGCCTACATCTAGATTGTTTTCTACATATTTAATAAATTCTAACACCTACCACCAAAAATAACCCCAAAGTCATAGTTATGGGGATACTAAAATAATTCATTTTCTGTGAAACAGAGCCATAGGTTTCTCAAGGAAAATATTGCTGGTCTAGCTCTCTGTTGGTCGTGCACGTCTGAGGCCACCTTTTGGCCCAGAGAGACTGATCATGGGAAGTGATCATGAGGTAATAGTGAAAAGTCAGTTGGCGACAGGTTTTCTTCCTTTCCAACCATTGTGTGAGCTATGGCAGTTGCCAATGAGCAGATCGTATAGTGCCTGGATGGTGCCTCGAGCATCTGGTACAGCCTCTGGTGACACAAGCTAAGTGTGGACCGGGGAAAGGTAATTTTCTGTGCCCTATTTTTATCTATTTACTTCCTTTGCCAGGAAGAAGCAATAGATAGCTAGGGAATTAGAGGAGATAAATTATCTTTAGATCAGACAGTTTCTCAAGGTTTTTAGCATGAGTAAGACTTCTGCAGCAGTGATGAGGGACAAGGAGACCATGGACCCGGGGGCAGAGCTCCACTTAGTAGTACCTGAACTACCTTTGGCAAGTTAGCCCCTCTGAACCTCAATTTCCTCATCTGCCAAACAGCACAAATAACAAAATAGCAAAATAGGGTATGTTAAAAATGCTTTGTAAGCTGTATGTGTTTTAAATTGCTTTTATAAAACTGAGTTCCTTTCCCAGTTTTGTAAATGGTCTGTTATAGAAGAAACTGTAATCCGGACTGTGAGTTTCTGAAAGCCCACTTTTTTCCCAGCAGGTAAAGAAACTGTTGTGAAAAATATTTACGAGTACCTTGAGCAGAACTTGAGTTATCTTTTTAAAACTAATCAGATCCTAACTGATCCAAATCGAGCAGTTGTTATAAGCGGGAAGCTTCCTTTCCACTAGATACCATTTTACTTTACACCATCTCTTACCGACCTGTACTGCCTACTCAAACTGTAGCTGACAGCAGCAAAATGAAACTGGGCTTTGTAATCGCAGTAAATTTTTTTTTTTTTTGGAAGCTGGGCCAGTGGTTTGACAGGACAAGTCCTCCTCTATGAAGGCACTAACAACTCTGCTGTCTCCTCTAGTGGCAAAGGGGAACCTGTGACTGAACTCAGCTGGCACTCCTGCCGGCAGCTCCTCTACCAGGCAGTGGCCACCGTCCTGGCCCACGCAGGCTTTGAGTGTGCTAATGAAAGCGTCCTGGAGACCCTAACTGACGTGACGCACGAGTACTGCCTGAAGTTCACCAAATTGCTGCGCTTCGCTGTGGATCGGGAGGCCCGGCTGGGGCAGACACCTTTCCCTGACATCATGGAGCAGGTATTCCATGAAGTGGGCATTGGCAGTGTGCTCTCCCTGCAGAAATTCTGGCAGCACCGTGTCAAGGACTACCACAGCTACATGCTACAGGTGAGGGGACCCTGTGAGGTGAGCTGTGCGACGGGGGTGAAGACATGCTGGCTGTGGGTGGTCACCAGGGGCTTGGAATAGAGGGGATTTAACCTGCTTTCCTCATGGCACTCGCTGACCTGGTCAGCGACTTAGCACTGACCTGGTCAGCTCACAGGCCTCTTCTAGCCGGTGAACAGTGACTCTGAGAGAATGTGGTTAGCAAGCTTTTATTCAACAGATGTTTATGAGTGTTATGGGGAGTCAGGCACTTGAGATTTAAGTTAACCACTAGTTCCCTGAGCTGGCATTCTGACTGAGAGGAAACCAACATGAGTAAATGATAAAATTAATTTCGGTTGGTGTTAAGTGCTTTGAAAAAAACCGTGTGGTGATGGCTGTCCTACCACTGTTGGTTAGGATCAGAAATATCTAGTCTCTTCAACTCTTGGAGCCATGAGCAAGTCACTCACTGATCTTAGTTTTCCCGGTCTAAAATAGGATTAGAAATGTTTAACACTCAACAAGAGTCTGTGCTGAATGACCCAGATGCCCTTCACCATTCCCACAGTTCACTATCACCGGTCAGCTGTTAGCTTTAATAACCAAAAAATGTGCCTTGTCCTGGTCTGACTCTCCATTTTTTATCTTTGTCTGCTTTTCATTGGTGACACACACACTATACCAAATGGATTTTCTTTACGTGTCACTCAGTAACACAACACCTTAAACAGTTTTCTAGCTTTGGCAGTTGATGCTATCTTCACGTTCAGATTCTGTTAGCTTTTCCATGGAAGGTCACAGGCTAGCTAACTAACTTGCTTTTAACATTCCCTTGAAAAACTGACTCTTGCTTGCCCACAGATCAGCAAGCAACTCTCAGAAGAGTATGAAAGGATTGTCAATCCCGAGAAGGCCACCGAGGACACTAAGCCCGTAAAGATCAAGGAGGAGCCTGTGAGCGACATCACCTTCCCTGTCAGTGAGGACCTGGAGGCCGACCTTGCTGCCGGAGAACAGGCACTACCCATGGGCGTGCTGGGGGCGCAGGGCGAGCGCTTTCCCGCTAATCTGGAGGTCGAAGCCTCCCCACAGGCTTCGAGTAAGAGAAATCATGTACTCACTTTTATTCTGGGAGATCTGCTATTTTCAGTCCTTGTTTTTTGCAGAATCAAGGTCTGGAGAGGACAAAAGTGGGGTGAGCAGGAGAGTGGGAAGCCTAAAAACAGATACAACTTCATTGATCTAAAAATGCTAGCATTCTTCCCTTTGTAGTAAGTGGAGAGAGAACTAGCTCAGCTTTACAGATGCTTTAAAATGATTCCTGGTTAGGCTGTAGAAACAGCATGTGTTGTTCTGATGAATGTTGTGGCACCAAAGTGCGGCCTGGGTGATTCAGCTGACCCTACTGCATGGGTATAGGTCTACTTCTCTTTAGACTCCTATAATGGTCCTCCTTGGCACTGTTACTCACTTAAAACAACCTTCAGATTGATGGAGGGTGCTAATTGCTCGTGCATGTTTGAAGAGTTAGGCTGCCTTGCTAGAGTCAGGCAATAAATCGGAGCTTTAAGGGATTGAACTAGAAACTACCCTGGTAGAGGCAGCTAGCCTATTCTTCCAGAGATTCCATGATCACCATAGGGATTGGGACAATTTGATGTTCGCATCATTTAGACTGAGAATGAGTGTAGACACTCTTGTTTACAACGCTGTCATTTTAACAATGCACAAATGACACAAATAGAAAATCCTTTTGTGTGGCCTGAACAGAACTAGGCCACGTTTTTTTAAAAAGCGCTGTAAAGAGAGCCTTTCTCCATGCAAGAAGTAATAGCCACAGGTAGTGCTAGCATTAGAGGCAGAAGGGTAAAAGAGAAGGTTGCAAACCGAGGGGTAGTGTCTCTTCTCAGCAGTCTGGAAGCTGCTGCCAACATTTGTGATAATCATTCACCTTCTTAATGTGAGAGGACCAGGGACCCAGGCCAAAGGAAAAGGTTGTCAAGTAACTGAAAATTCTGCCTGCCTGTGGGCCATGATACTGGGGCCCATCCACCTTCCCTGCTTTGGGGAAAATGGAAGTGGTTGGGGTGGGGGAAAAGGGTGACTGAATTAGAAAAGATTCACAATTGGTAACTTTTTGAAGCCAAAAATAACCACCATATTCTCCAACTAAGCAGAGAGTTAAAAGGGAAACAGTTCAAATACCACTAGTCAGTTCTACTTCATTCCAGCCCTGGCTGGCACTGGTTCCATATTCCCTTTATTTCTAGGTACAGAGGTAAATGCTTCTCCTCTTTGGAATTTGGCCCATGTGAAAATGGAGCCTCAAGAGAGTGAAGAGGGCACTGTCTCTGGGCACGGCGTGCTAGGCAGCGACGTCTTCGAGGAGCCCATGTCAGGCATGAGCGAAGCAGGCATCCCCCAGAGCCCCGACGACTCGGACAGCAGCTACGGCTCCCACTCCACCGACAGCCTCATCGGCTCCTCCCCTGTGTTCAACCAACGCTGCAAGAAGAGGATGAGGAAAATGTGAAAGGAAAAGGGGACTTGCTCTGCACTAGAAACCCGACAGAAAGCCTTGGTGTATCTGAATTTGTTCCCACAGTAACTTGGCTCTTACTCTTAAATGGTGGCTTGTCCAGATCTCAATGGAACTGGACTGGTCAAACAAGTCTGTGTTTTCCTTTTTACATCTGGTTTTTTGTAAGTTTCCCCAATGCATCAGACAGGCCGTGACGCTGGGACAGTCATCAGACCAGGCGCTGTCACTGACTATTTTACTGTGAGACAAGAGATGTTACTTAGCCAATTTCTCTTGCACAGTTGAGAAGAATCACCCTTTGACCTCTTTCGCAGGGATGTGGTGAAGATCAAGACATTGGACCTCAAAGCTGTGCCTGAACAGATAATCAAGTAAATATTTGCTGATAGCAAATGTCAGTCTTTTCATTTGACTTCCTTCAAGTCACTGGGAATCCAGCTCTAATACCCAATAGGAAGTAGTTAAGCACTGCGCAGCTGCTCTCTTGCAGGCCTTAATCTTAAATGTTTCTGCAGCTATGAAATCTAGAGGTCAGTGGTGACACAGCCTTTCTGCATATCCAGCAGCCCTCTCCTAGTTCACCCGCATATTTTCTTCTTCCTTCTCTACATTTAGTGTCTCCTCGTCCTGTCTTAGTCCCACTCAAGTATTTTTGTATTTTTAGTTGTTTTCATCTTCTCTTTTATGAACGAAGCAAACGGCACCCACCCCTTGTTTACTACTCAGTGGTATCTGCGTGGCCCTCAGGGGAGGGCCGCCCTTCCTGTCCGCATTGGACACTGTCTCCACCTGGTGGGCAGCCTCAAAAAGTAGAGCACGTACCTCCGACTTAATACCACGTCCTGAACAGTGTCCGGCCCACTCAGTGTCGGGGCCCCTCAGTCGGTGGACAGAGTAGATGACGCAGCACAGGAGTAATTAGGAGACGCCAGCTAATGCGCTGTGTGCCTCAGCAATGGTGCATGGGGCCGCGCTGCGTACGTTTGGTTTGGTTTGGGGTGTAGAAAACAAGTCTTGTGGAATTTAGTGCACTCCTTTAACAGAGACCAGAAATCTAGGCACAGCTTTAAGTAGTACATTATCCAGTGCCTTAAATTGAGAATAAAGATCAATGCGAAAGCAGCAAAATAAGGTAACAAACTATCAGGTCACTTACAAATTTGCTTGTTTGCACCCTTCTTCCAGGCTTTGCTTCACTTTCCCTTATTGACTTAGCATGAGTAGACACCAGGCAGCTATTTCCCATAAAGCAACCACTCAGTATTTCATTCCTCCTGTCAGCTCTTACTGAGGCAACTCCTGTGTGTGAGGTCCCGTGCAAGGAAAGAGATGAAGACTTTGTCCCTGATTTTATGGAGCATAGGCCACACCAGTTTAAGTTTCTTTTTAAAAAGTATTTAAAGGCACAAAGGGAAGAACTATGTTCAGAGTTTCACTTTGCAAATGGTTTCCTCTTAAAGAACAAGTTCAAATTCTTGTACTAGTGTTCCCACAAGGTACGAAATATTGAAATGAATACTTCATGGTAAAATAAATGCTTTAAAATGTTTACCCTGGAGGGCCCTCCCTGGTGGCGCAGCAGGTTAAAAGCCCAGCACTAAGAAGCTAAAGCCACTTCAGCATGAGTTCGATCCCCGCCCTGGGGGGTGGTCCACATGGCAGAGCAGACCTCTCCTGACCCACCAGCTGTTCCCTTCAGCATTGTACTTCATCAGTTGGCTTGTTCTGCTCCCCACTGTCTCTGGTGAAGCCTCTCACCACTCCTGCATCTCTGGCCTGTACCCCAGTTCTGAATGCATAAATAAATCAATCTTCAAAAAAAAAAAATGTTTACCCTGGAGAAGGCAGGCATGGCCATGGTTGCGGCACTGTGATAAAGCAGGTGATGTGAGAGCAGGTGACTCACAGGTGTAGGAGAGCATGGCTCTCACCTTAGCATGCTTCAGAATCTTCAAAAGGATGCACTAAGATACAATCCCCCAGGACTGTTCTGGTCCAGGGCCAAAGCTTTGAGAAGTGCTGCCTGAGGATACAGACCAGGCAGGATGAAATTCTTTTAGAGAAGTGAGCTGTTTTAAGAACATGAAGAGGGTTCTCGCTGGTGGCACAGGATTAAAATGCAGCACCATGAAGCTCTCGGCAGCCACTGCAGTCCAGTTTGACACTCCCACTCCCACCCTCAGCCCTAGAGCTGACCCACAGGGAACAGCAGACCTCTTCTGACCCACCCACTGCTCCTCTCCCCTCAGCAGTGTATTTCAGTCCATCTGCCCTTTCTGTTCCCCATTCTGTTTCTGATGAATCCTCTCACCGCCTGCATCTCTGCCTATACCCCAGTCCTTGTATGCATAAATAAATCTTTACAAAAAAAAAAAAAAAGAATGAAGAATGCTGAAGCAGGGCAGACCCTTACTTATGGCTGCAAGGAATTGAATGTGCAGCTGACCCAAACCCAGGGCCTCAGGGCCTTTGAGTGAATCACCAAGGATGCTGTGTGTGACACTCAAAGAACAATGGTGGGGGATGGGGGGGCAGCACCAGGGTCTTTCTGGCGATTTCTCTCACACACACCCCCACCACTAGCCAGGACACTAGTGTGTGGGGACTTTGTGCTGTGGCAGAGCTGTCCAGAAGACCCCGAGGTCAGGTGTCTCCCCCACAAAGCTTCAAACTGTCTTAGCAGTTTGAGCAAAGCGGCATAATAGCCACCATCACCATTGCCAGAAAGAGCAATTCATGGCTTTGTCCTTTTTTTTTTTTTTTTAAAGATTTATTTATTTATTCATACAGAATTGGGGAGAAGGCCAGAGATGCAGAGGGTGAGAGGATTCACCAGGGACAGAGTGGGGAGCAGAACAGGCAGATCGACGAAGTACACTGCTGAGTGGAGCAGCGGACGGGCCAGGAGAGGTCTGCCACGCCATATGGATCTCCTCCGGGGCAAGCAGGGATCGAACTCATGTGGAAGTGGTTTTAGCTTCTTAGTGCTGTGCTTTAACCTGCCGCTTTGTCCTTTTCTTAAGCTCCAAATTTGACTTCATTCTCTGTCTTGTGTGGGCTTTCATTCCTGAATCTTGGCTAAACTCCTTAGGTTTAAGCTTTTGGGCTCAAAAATACTGGGCAGTGACCTTGCCAGTTTATTATCTACCCATTACTCTCGTAACCAGATATGTATTTTCACTTGGAGTAAACATGAGAACCTCTACAGTCATCTCCATTCATACAGTCACAGATATCTATGCAAGAATCAACAGCCAAAGAAATCCCAAGGCCATCCCAGCATTAAGATAACCCTACTAGTAACCAAAGTGTTCTTTCTTACAGCCAAAGAACTTCCTTACACCAAAAGCTGAATTGTGTGTAAATTAACACCAAGCATCTGTTATAAATTTTGACATCAAAAACAATACAAACAGAGTCTGGCTCTGTATCTCCTTACTAGGGGTGTGTGTCTGGGAAACATCACGTCCCTGTTAAGACATGTTTAGACTTGTGACATCAAACCTCTTTGTGGAGTTATTTACGCTTACAAATTTCCTTATTTAGATTTATGACAAACAAGCTTACAAAGTTAAAATTAAAAACTCTTTATCTAAGTCCCCCTGGAAAGAATTATCTTACTCATTTCTCTTATTCATTCATGTCCACTTCCTTCAACGAACCCAGCGCCCTATGGTGAGCTGCCGAGTGTGGGGCACAAGATACTGGGGAGGCAGAGGCTGGACATCCAGTCACTAATAGAGGCCTGAAGTTCAGTACTTTCTCTCTGTTCTATCCATCAGTAGAAAAAGTGCTTGAGTTCAAATGATAAAACTTGACGTTTCAGATCTCAAAGGATCTCCACATCCAAGAACTGTCAGAATATCCTTCTTTACATAAATCCAAGGTGAGGGCAAAGCGAATCGCATTCACCGGTTAGTCCCAGGGTCTTCATCAGTCAGATTTTCCTAACAGGAGAGACTGCCATGCTGAACAAACAGTTCTTTCACAGAGTTAATACCAAAACTTCAGACTTCTAGAGTCTATTTGTTATTTCTCTTCCAGTATTGTGCCATTGATTCTTGCATGAAATTCTGGAATGCTGGTTCTTCATGACTTTCCTCTGTGACTGCAAGGAGAAAATGTCAGATCTTTTTAAACTCTCCCAGTGGTTAGTGCTGCTGTCACCCAGTATCAGAAACAATACTTTAATTCTAAGTAACGAAATGTTCACTTCTATCAAGGAAATACCTCCCAGAGCAGATTCTATTTATCACCTGGCCTAAAATGTACAATCTCTTTCATCAATAGGTGGGGAAAATATCTCCCTCATAAAGTAACTCAAAATCCACTCATGGGTATTTTTAACTAAGAGAAATAAAAACATATAAAGAATGAATGTTTATAGCAGCATTATTCGCAATAGCTAAAATCTGGAAACAGTCCAAAAGTCAATCAATTGATGAATAGGTAACTTGTGGTACATCCACATAATGAACAATTACTGAGCAATAAAAAAGAAAATCCTACACAACAACCTGAAGGGATCATAAATGAATTAACACTAAGTGAAAAAATCAAATGCGAAAGCTACTTACTGTAATTCCAGTTATATGATACTCTGGAAAAAACAAAATGTGGGGACTAGAAATCAGCATTTGCCAGAGACTAGTGGTGTGGAGAGATGAATAAAAATAGGACACAAGGGAACTTTCAGGGTGACAGGAGTGTTCTGCTGTTGATGATAAGACTAAGTGGTATAATCATCAAACTTATCACACAATATGCTTTACAAAAGTGGGCTTATTGTTGTAAATTATACTTCTGTAAATCTGATCAAATGAGGCAATTTACATGTTAGCATCCAGCCTGTGGAGAGGTTTGCTCATGGTCATAGCTACAAGAGTCATTGAAAAATAGATTCCATAAAACTATGCCAAAATGAATTCATTTGATTTCCACAGCCATTCTATGCTTAGCTTAGTTGACATGGGCTGAGGCCTCCTTCTATATTGTGAAAACAACAATGATAAACAAAATTCCTGGGCTCCTCAAATTGAGTTAGGAGCAGCATGGGGGAGACATAAGAAGGCCTAGAGTCAGCTCAAATGAACCATTCAGCAGGAAGGTCAGGAACCTTCAGTACGGGAACTCTTTTCTGGTGCTGCGTCCTTAACCATCTCCTCTCTCTCCACCACTGGCTGCTTGCTTAATGTCTTTCGACAGGAAGCAGCTCTGAGCACATAAGTGAGGATGAGCAGCTCATCTATTTTCAGGAGACACCTCAGCCACTTCTCACCTTGATGGTCAATATCATCAGTATCACTGTCAGCTTCCTCATCCTCCTCATCCAAGGTTCCCCGCGTCAGGATCAAATCAGAAGGATCCAGCACAGGAGAAAGGCTGTCTACAGAGAACACACCTCTCAGGAGCATGTCATAAACATGTACCTCCTCATAAAGGTGATTCTGAATCAATAAATTGGTAGGCTAAACACAGTTGTGATAAAAGTGAAGAGTCTTCTAAATGTACCACCTATATCACTAAACATTTCTACCACAGTTCAGTTCACAAAGTGTTTTCATGACCCAATTAACCCAAAAGGTCCAATTTTTAAACTGAAGAAAATAACTCTCAAGCAGCCTACCTTAGTAATAACGCATTCCTGTTACCATCTCAGGGCAGGGCAGGGGCTGTGGCGTTTACCTAGATAAAGTCACCCAAGCAGATCCAGTGTGCTCATGGAGTCTAATGTGCAGTCTAAGTGTGGAGTGTAAGTGTGGAGCGCTAAGGAAGCTTTCTGGTGGAAATTAAGTTTAGAGAGGGTCTGAAGAAAACAGAGGGTAAAAAACTACAGAGGAGAGCAGTCAGGGTACTATTCAAGAAACCAGTGTGGGGGTGGACAGAAGACTGAAGGTACTAATAGAGGTAAAATTCCTTACTCAAGGAAAGTGAATAAGGGATGAGCTACAATAATCAGAAGAAAATCTGAGCAAGTCATTCAAAGGCCAAGGATGAAGCCAGCAGGGGTTGGTCTCTATCAGCATCTAAACTACACTATTCACTAAGCTTTTCCATAAATGTGAAATTAGGCCAAAATAAACAGTAAATTAAAAAATGGGAGGAGTCAATTACAGAGTAGAAATCAAGTATCTTGCCAAAGTAAAGCGAAAACTATCAGAACCCAAAGACCCCAGAGTAGCATGTTGTCTGTGGCTTTCCAGCCATTTCATAAAGACAACGCAGCTAGCTCTGTCTGTCAGTCACGCGCACTGACTTTTCTCTTTACACACAGTGTCTTCAGCTGAGTGGAAGCAGCGGGCCCTCCTCTAAAAGGCCCTCCAGTACCTGCGGCCGCCCCCGGGTCCAAGGCCACGGAGCCCATGTCTTTGCGCAGGCGCTCTAGCTGTTCCTTCTGCTGCTGGCTCTGGGCACTGGCCTGGAGACAGAGAGGAAAGGGCGACGCATTGGGCAAGCAAAATAGCGGCCTATGGCTGGAGACAGACAGTTACACAAACACTCGCAGCTGCTTAAACACTGAGGCTAACGAGTGGGCCCAGACTGCTGTTCAGACTGGGGCTCTGCTGACTGGGATAAAGCCTGGGAAAAGGCACACAAAGCATCTCAAAAGAACCCTCAGGTAGTCCCAGCAGGAAGACGCAGTGATAAGGGGCCTAAGGTGGCCGATGGAGGCAGGACATCTGGCCATTTCAGGTAAGAGCTGTCACACCTTATCCCTAAATACAATTTGAACCACATGCACCTTGGAGTAGGGGAAGGGGTGGGTACAGTAATTGCCTAGCATATACTGTAGGTATAATGTATATGTAGGTAAAATCAGACTCAAAACTTTAGCTAAAATCATTCTGCATCCAGACAGCAGGCATACAAAATTACAAATTTCAGTTACCAAGTATCAAAAAGATACTGATGGTCAAAACAAAGACACCTTAAGAGGATTACTACACAGCTTGACCTGTGCTTTTGGTGGCCCTAAAACACACAATCTACTTTCTTACCAGTGACTTCTTCAGACGTTCATATTCAGGCCGATACTCCCTGGGGGAAAAAAAAAACATTTTTTACATTCTTTGGCTTAGTAATCTGCCCTGTCCCCCTCCTCTATCACTTCTCTTTTCCTAGAACTCTGACACCTATGGAAGGATCGTCCTTCCCTGAACGCTCGATGCAACAGGACTTATTCACTAAGGTTCTATCTCTATGGAATGAAAAGCCTATGTTCACCCCGAAGCTGGCAAAGAGACAAAGGCCAGCTGCTGCCTAGAAAGATCAGCACTGGGGGCCATGACTGATGAGCTCATTCTCTGGGATAAACATTTGAAATGAATAAAGGCAGGCAGGGCTGTGGGGCTCAGGAAGCCTCATAAGCAAGTGTGGTTTATCTGGGCGACATGAAAGGGTACAGAGAAGGATCGACCTGAGGTTCTGAGCACACGCGTGCACTCACACACACAGACCTACAATGGTCTGATGAAACAAAATCAAAATGTGTTCAAAACCAGAAATAGGTTGCGAGGCTCTCGGCAAGCGTGCAGCCAAGGTGCAAACAGGTGAGCAGCCAATTAAGAGCCCCAGGAGTGTGTGGGCGCTGGCTGCACGCTGTGATAGGCGCAGAGTCCCAGCAGCGAGCACGACACAGTTATAACAACCACCCAGCATCTGCTTACCATGCCAGCAAGTAGCTGGGCGCTCGTGAACTGTTTTCCCAATCCGCACAGTGACTTAAGCAATAAGTGCTACTATCCCTGAGCTACAAATGATGAAAACCTAAGGTCACTCACTCACTAAGTGGAGGAAAGGGAAACGCAACCCAAGCCTGTCTGACTTGCTAATGTTCTTAATCAGAGGACGGTACAGTCCCCACGGTAAAGAGGCCAAACCCACACTACTGCCTACTTTTGTAAATGCAGCATCGTGCACTTTCATTTACAAATCACCATTGTTACTGCACAATGCCGGGCAGAGCAGCTACAGCAGGGTCTGTGTGGCCCACACAGCCTAACAGCTACCTATGGTTTTTAACAAAGAGTCTGCCAGGCTCCTGCTCTTGGTTATCCAGGATTGTATATGTCCGTGTAAGTTAATGGAGACTTGTTACCCCCTTGTGTAGTCAGAGCCAGTACACAAGTTTATGGCAAACACAGTGTACTGCGAAAACCAAAATGCTTTGCCTCACAATGCTGCTACCGTATCAGACATGTGGGTTACGAAGAACACCATCAGTAGCTTCACCTTTCATATTCTTCGGCAGCACTGGTGACTTGCACAAAGAGTTCATCTAGGCCAGTTCCCAGAACAGCAGAGACACCCACCACCTGCCAAAAGCATCATTAATGCCACTGAGAAAACAACAATCTATTTTAAAATGTCATAAACTCCTCATAAAAGAGGTCTACGTTAAGTATTGGGAAAAGTCAAGCTAAAACAAAAGCACGCAGACTCAAAGTCATAGAAATAAGTCTATGGAAAACAGAATTGACAAATTAGTATCTCAATGTCTTCTCCTGGACAATTAACATGCTCCCTGCCACCTACACCCATGCATCTTATCCCTCACCATCAAGCCCAACTTCTAGTCTTTCTTTCTTTTCTTTTTTAGATTTATTATTTGTTTATGCATTAAGAACTGGGGTGTAGGCCAGAGGTGCAGGGTGCAGGGGGTGAGAGGATTCATGGGAGAGTGGGAAACAGAACAAGCAGATGTACTGAAATACGCTGCTGCAGAGGGGAACAGTGAGCGGGTCCGGAGAGGTCTGCTGCGCCAGGTGAGTCCACTCCTGGCCGGGGATCAAACTCAGGCCAACTCCGGCCACAGTGGCTGGCTATAGTTTGATATTGCTGAGACTTTAACCTCTATACCATCAGGGATGCCCCCCTTCCAATCTCATGTAAGGTACTCATCACATCATAAGTTTCAATTCTATGTTTATCTTTCTCCCCTGATCATAAATTCTCTGAGGGTAGGATTGCTATCTTATTTTAAACCTCTCATTTTGAATAAGCAATGCTTTAAAGTTACTTTTCAGCAGGTAATAAAGTTTCTAAGATGGATTCAAAGTAAGCCCTTGGGCCTGAATGGTTATCTGGAGAGACTAACAGTGTGAACAGAGAGAAAATTTACCCTGAGTGAGCTGTAAAATTCATCTAACACCAGACTCATTGAACGAGTCAGGTTGCTGACATACGTAGTCTCTTGATTCAAAGCATCCTGAAAAGCCTCAAAATCCTGCATCCATTCCACGGCAAAACTGTGATCGATGATGTCAGTCTGCACCGGAGAAAAGTCAGCTATTAGCAATCACAGAGGAGGTTAGACATTAAAAATACCAAAAAAATTTTTTAATTATGTATTAACAGCAAAGAGCAATCATTCATTTCTTTCCTCTGCTTCTCCCATTTCGTTTTCCACAGGAACAAGCCACAGAGAGACAAGACTGTTGTGTAAAATATCAAGACACATATTCTCCTAGGTGAAGGGTCCTAGTTAGGCCAGCACATTCCAGATCCGGGGATAAGCAGATCGTGCATCCTGGCCATCACCAGCAACAGCAGTGTTTTCCGTGTGGCCTGTTAAAATTGCCACTTTCATAGAGCAGCAGGAGTCCCTCTCCTGTTTACATGTCTGGATTTCGAGGACAACATACATTCAGGTTGAGGGCTACTCCACGTAACCTCACATAACTCTGGGTGAGTTGGTCACAAATATTCAATTTGACTGAATCCCTTTCCAAAAAGTGCTCATGACTACTTTAGTTAACAATGAATCTGTTCTCCAGCACTTGAGATAATCCTCACCTACCCAAACCTTCTGATAACGAAATTCTGGAAAAAAAAAAAAATGTACTGAACCACAGCAGAAGAAGCCACTTACTTTATTCATGACCACAATGAAAGGTAGCTTGGTTTTGTATAAGATGCTGAAAGTCAAATATAAAGACATGATTACTGAAAGCACTGAGGCTCTTGCTTGCCTGATTTCAGTCCTTTGGAAGAAAAAAGGGACAGGTGTAGATGTCAAGTACGCACCCCCTCTGCAGCAGCACCCACATGTTATACTCTCCTCCCCCAAGCGGAAAGCCGCCGATGTCAAGTCAACAATACACAAGCACTCTTGCTCTTTTTCTTAGAGTAATACTGTTTTGATCCTGGTATGTGTGTGTTGTTTGTTTTTTACCAGTAACAGTATTTGTAACTATTAATAGGAAAACAAAATGCTATTGTCAGTCATCAGATTTCTTTTTGCACAGGATTCTGCATCTAGTGAGAGGGGTCATCTCTAGTCATTAGAAGTGAGCTATGCTGGTAATGACATATCAGATCCTCTCAACTTTAAAGTGGTCTTCCTCACTCCCAGACCTAATGTACAAGACACCTGTGAGGTAGGTCCTTCCTCTGCCAATGGTGACACAGCTGGGGCAAACTCGCCCATCCTTGCACTATGGGTCAATCTTTGTAGTGTCCGTGTTAGAGCTACATCTTCCCTCTCACGACCGAGCACTCAGACCAGGGCACACATTCTATTTACACCTGGATTTTATTCAACTGGGAACGACCACAAAAAGGTTCATATTCCTACACCACCTTTTCTGTACCAGCAAGTGAGGAAGATGAGAAGTTGCTGACGCAGAATGCCAGTAACATGCACCTCCTTCCTCTTCTGGTCCCTCCACAACACACAGACATGAAAATGAATGGCAGGTCTGAAAGAGCCAGCTCTAGGGAAAGTTCTCAGAGCTCAAAAGCAAAGGAGAAGAGGAGGCCTCACACCTTGATGTAATGCTACCAATACCAATTACCTGCAGGCATACAGCATATTGGACATGAAGGTCACTGGGTTGGTACTTCTCGATGTGTCCATGACATAAATCACAACTGTTGGGAATGACGATGCCTAAAACCACAAAATAGTCAGAGCTTTACTAGCACGACTCATGGCATGTCTCCCAAACTCTTTTTTTCCTTCCACAGCAGAGGGAGCCACTGCAGCCAGGTGTGCACACCGTCCGGACTCCCTCCCGCATAAGGTCCCAGGCAATAAGTAAGATATTTCCGCCATCCATGTTGTCTAGCTCTCTGCTACTCTCTGTAACAAGCCGAGGAAGCTCACCAGGGCCTCAGTGATGATTGTCCCAGAAGCTGACCAGGTGAATACCTCAATCTGTCCAGGTGTGTCAATTAAGACATATCTGTGTCAAGAAAGTCCATGAAAAACTATTAGGCATGTGCAAGGCTGAAAGTCATTCCATCACACAAAAAACTAAGCATCTGGTTCTCCAATAATCGCTTCATAATGCCAAGCCCTAACATCCTCCTGTGGTCCTTAAAATGCATAACGAATTCCCCTGACTTTATTCAATAGCCAATGTTAAGGCTAATAAGTAGGAGCAGCTGTTCATAAATTGCCACAAATGACAATTTGTGATAGTCTGAGAAACACACTGCCTTAAAAATCAGAGGTAAAGTCAGAAAAGGAAACCATCCAGTTGCTTAGGGGGTAGGTAGGTGGGCAGGGAAAGGAGTGACTAAAGAACATAAGGTTTCCTCTTGAGGCGATGAAGTGCCCTAAACATGATTGTGCTGACAGTCACACAATTTGTGAATATACTAAAGACCGCTGAATGGTACACGTTAAGTGGCTGGATGGATCTATGATTTATATCTTCGTAAGGCTGTTTTGAAAGTGAGCAAAGAATTTGAATAGATAACTCCCCAAACATACATACCAAGGGACAATAAGCACATGTCAAACAGTAAGTTTGACATCATTAATCATTGAGGAAATATAAACCAAAGCCACAATTACATACCAATTCATACTCAGTAAGATGGTGATAACCAAATGTAAGGATGAGAGCAAGTGCTGGAGAAGCCATGAAGAAACTGGAGCCGCCAGACTCAGCTGGCAGGAAAGTAACTGGTGCAGCCAGCCGGAACGTGAGGAAGGGGGAGAGAAAGCGACTGCTAAGGTGTAGGGGCTTCCTGTCAGGATGCTGAGGATGCTCTGAAATTAGCTGGTTGTGATCAACGCACAATTCTGTGACCATTCTAAAAACCACTAGATGTATGTATGTACTTTAAAAGCACGTACTTTCCGATATATGAATTTACATGGGGGAGAAAGCCTGGCGTCTTCACTCTGCTGCCAGCTAGCAGGACTCCTCCATGATGTGTCCATTCAAATCTCAATAAACTTTCATTTTTTAAAACAACCTCTAGCATGATCCCATTTTTATAAAACACCTTCTCCACCCTTCCATCTTTGTATATATGCCTCAGACATGTAGTGAGTCACTGACAGCACAGCTACTTCTAGTGAGAATCAGGTTAATAATTTCATCTTTTAAATAGTATGCATGACTTGAGAGCTTCATAGTGAGCACATAGCCTTATTTACAAAAGTAATACATCATTATTCTCTTAAAAAATTTAAACAAAAAAATTTTCTAATGTAACCACAGTTAATTGTAGATAATAAGAACATATATATATTTTATATCCTGATATTTTTAAAATTAGAAAATAATTATTCTCTCTGAATCCTATAAAGTACATTCATTTACATGAGAATATTATGAAGGCAATTCAGAGACTTTAATGTCAACAAGCACGAGGTCCCAAGAGAAAGCAGATAGACAGATGAATTTGAACAAAATCTCAAAATATTTCCAAAATCATGAACCTCTACCTAAATGAATGGAGCTGAAATGCTATAAAATTTAACTCTACAGTGTATGGCAGTGTAATCATTAAAATCTTAATGATTAGGGCCCTCCCTGGTGGCTCAGCGGGTTAAAGCAGCACAAAGCAGCTTAAGCCAAGAGTTCAATCCCCGCCTGCCCTGGAGGAGATCCACATGGCAAGGCAGGCCTCTCCTGACCCGCTGCTGCTCCCCTCAGCAGTGTACTTTGTTAATCTGCCTGTTCTGTACCCCACTCTGTCTCTGGTGAATCCTCTCACCCACCGCATCTCTGGCCTGTACCCCAGTTCTGTATGAATAAATAAATAAATCTTTAAAAAAAAATCTTAATGATTATATAGTATAATCACTAAAATCTTAATATTTTGTTGCTCATTTTTTTCATTGCTAAAGGTTTCATCTCAATCTACATCCTTTCAGAGCTAAGAAGCATCCCAAAGCCCTTCAAAAGCCTAGAAACACTAAAAACTATCAGATGGGCTTTAAACTGAAATCACTTACTTGGACATGTTCTGGGCCTTCTCAATAAATTTCATCACCTAACAGAAAAAGATGTCAATTACAGTGAGTGTAATTGTAATTTCAACACACAATCCCAGGGTCCTCTCCAAGGGGACTGCCTCACAAGTACAATCTTAGGACACCAGTTAACAAAGCCGCTGAACCCAAAAGCACAGCCACGCCAGCAGCACGTAGGCACTTCAAGCAAGGTGCACGGACCTGTGAAACTGGACACTAGATCTGTCCATGTCAGCTCATTTCTCTGGTGACTTTGATAGAATGTAAATAGCCTGATAAAAGGTAACTTGGATAAAATGTAAATAGCCTGATAAAAGGTAATCAATATGATTATAAAACACTCTTACGGAGCAGAGGATGACAGAGAAAGCCTAAATGATGACAGCTATTTGTTTTCAGTAAAAGGCCCCGTTATCTTCCTACTCCATACCTGCTAGCCCTTCTCATAACCTGTCCTCACCCCGTACTCAGATTAACACTGCAAGCCAATAACAGGTGAAGAAAGAAACCAGGTCTCCTGGATTTTTGTTTCATTGGCTGTCACACATATTAAATGTGAAGTGTCTCACAATGCTGATCATCTCCTCCCTACCAAAACACCTATTTTCTTATATTTATATTCAGATTTACTGCTCTTCTTTCCCAATGTGATAAAGTTAAGGCATTTAAGAGTCACAGATTTACACAACCATGACTATATGAACACATACCTGAAGGCCTCCCTCATGGCATAAGGGGTTAAAGTCTCAGCACTATGAAGCAACCTGCAGCCACTACAGCACAAGTTTGATCCCTGGCCAGGGAACTGACCACATGATGCAGCAGGCCACTCCTGTCCTGCCCTCTGCTCCCCTCAGCAGTATATTTCAGTCAGTCCACCTGTTCTGCTCAGCTCCCCACTGTCTCTAGTGAATCCTCTCACCCTCCCCCACACACTTCTGGCCTAGACCCCAGCTCTTGTATGTATAAATAAATCTTAAAAAAAAAAATCATACCTGATCAAATCTGGTGGCAAAGAGATTGAGTGAAGTCACTATACCACCGTTAGGTCCAAGTCCATATCTAGACACTAAGTTGAGGGTTTAAATTGCTTACAGATCACATTAGATGATAAAGTTCACACACAGAATATCACTCATACAAACAGCATTAACCCTTGACTAGGATGTACCACCACTCATAGGTAAGCATTTATGACCCAGTACTTCCTCATTTATCTTTTTGGAATGGTCAGGCAAAATGAAGAAACTCTAAAGTGACCAAGCTATAACAGACAGATCCATCAGGCAGTGACAGCCTACTGACATTAAATGTTAAGATCACCTATATAACATTCCTTGTTCAGAGCATCACTAGTTAATTAAACCTGCAGATTACAGTTAGTCTTCTTAACTAGACTTACCTAAAGGAGTGTACATATTTCACAAAGCACTGTACTAAAAGTACAGTGCTAACCCTACTCATTTCTGAGTTTCCCAATGTGAAAGTATGGTGACCAACAGATGTACCCCAAAGCAGTATTACCCCGGGCACCCTGATAGGCCATCAGCTAGTGTCTCATTCCATGTGCTCTGCTTACAAAAGCCTGGGGAGATGGTAGGAAACACACAGATTGGAATAACATTTCTAATCACCTACAATACTTCTCCACACTTTCATCTTCTATTTTACTAGTAAAATCACTTTAAAAAAAATGTTTTTGTTTGCGTGTCACAAGGAAACAGAAAAACACACATCAAAGTCACAAAACAGACAAAATAGCTAAGATAAGTCAACTGAAAGAGATGTGAAAAAGGATACTGTTTCATGACCTCTTTATACTTCACAGTGTCCCGAATATCTGGAAAAAAGAATTAACTGGAATTTAACACAGAAGAAACATTATAGTTGATTTCCTCTACCTCCTACAACATCCTAAGCTAGTAAGTCTCTCAAGTCATCTCTGCTTCCTCAAAGAAAAATATACTTTATCAGTAACTAGTTGCATAGAGAAAGGGCCCAAATCATAAAAAATTTTTATTTCTTACTAATTTGCCTGGTAGAGTAACAAGGGTGATGCAGACATGATTTTTAAAAAGGAATTAATTTATCCAATAATATCTAATGAACCTATCTACCAATATGTAGATTTATCCCATCAACTATCAGAATTCCATTATTTAAGAAGATGAAAACTTCTTCCAAAGTAATCTCTGCTTCTTAATACAAGATCTTCTATTAGTACGTTTAGGGTACAAGCAGCTTCACAGAATTAAAAGGCAAGGAGGGAAAGAATTAGCACACAGTGAAAGCCTGGAAATTAGGAAGCATAGATTCTACCAAGAATCATAATACTGGATGGCATCCATTCTTCATCTATTTTATAGGCACAGACTCCTCTCCTACAACAAGCTACATATATGCCTAGATACAGTTTTCCATGTAACCTTGAGATGGGAAGCAAGGTTGCTATAGATAAGTAAGTGAACAGACACAAGGTCTCTTATCACTCAGCAAATTGAGAAAAGAAGTAAAAAGAGAAGTAAAAATGAGTCTCAGCACATGAAAGTAGATAACTAAAAAAATGAAAACGAAAGGCATTCAAGATTAGCAGGCAGGAGGGCTTCCATTCTCTAAGGCGCTTCACTCAATTCTAGGACAGTTTACTCACCAATATTGGCAGGAAAAGGAACTTCATGCACAGCTGGGTCCAGGTTGATTACATAAGGTGGAAAGCCTTGACTATGCAGATGTCCCGTAAGCCTCTGCAGAGATATTGGGAAAGGGACAGAGTGAGAAAGGCATGAAAAGGGAACAGGAGAGAACTTTTATTCCTATATTAACATACCTGAATTCTTCGGCACATACAGTTCCCTCTACCTGAAATATTCGCCCCCAGTGTTCACCGTTAGCATTCAGCGCTCAACCTGAAATGCTACCGTTTCTTTCCCATCCATTTAATAGAGCCTCCCATATGTCGGTCATTTATTTTCTTATCTTGTTTGTGGGGATTTCTATCATTCCCAATAAAACATTAGCTTCATTTTAGCGAGATTTGTCCGAAGATTCGGGAATATCCTCAGTACTTGAAACACAGGCGCGCAAGAAGTCATTTCTTAGTCCACACCGAACCTGTGTAAGCTAGTAGTGAATGCGTGGACAGTTCTTAAGGCCTCTGCCTTCGAGGAGGGGGCATTTTTATCTCAGACAATTCCAGTACAAAGCGGTAAGTTAAACTAAGTACACAGTGAGGATGCGCGGCAAAGACCTTTCTTTAACTTAGTCTAGGGTCTGAGATTGTTCCGCGCAGGAGAGAACGCGAGTTGTCATCAAGTGAGCGAAAACCACGCGCCCCTCCAACTCCCTAGACAGCCCTTCCACGCTTTCTCCCCGGCCTCCACCCGCCATAGGCAACCTCTCGCCCCTGCCATGCCGGCGCCTTGTACGTCACCTGAACAAAAGTAGTTTTCCCAGATCCCGCCATTCCCAACACCAACAGACACACTGGGGGCCGGGGACCCCCAGAAGCTTGCGGCTCCGGAGCAGCTGCGGGCGCCGCCATCTTGCCCCTAGCTCCGCCCACCTACCACCGAGACTCCAGGAGGCTAGAGGGCCCTGCCGACTTTCCGGGTTGCCATGGCGCCGGAATCCACCACCTGCACTGGACGCGCGTAGGGGCGGGGCGGGTGCCGGAGCATCTTCTTGTCCCGACCAGACTCAGGGGTCGACTAAATGACTTTGGCGGGAAAGTGGGGACGCTGGGAGGACGTATTGAAGGGGCAGGAGAAAGAGGCGCTGAGTGTTGTCGGGGTGGGCCTAGGAGGGGCGAAGCTATGGTCCCCAAGACGACTAGGCGAGCGGGGATCCCGAAGGCAGGACTTCTACGGTAGGAGAATGAGTAAAGTGCGCTCCTCTTTCGACCTGGAAAAAGAGGGGAGCCCACCCGCCGAACAGGCTGCTATGGCCTCTTCTGCAGCCCTGGAGGTGGGGCTGCTCGGAGCTGAACAAGCCGGGACCGGGGCGTGGTGCGACTCCCCGTACTGCTGGGCAGCGCCGAGGCTCGTTGAGCAAAGAAATGAGAAAGTGCGAGAACTTTCCGCCCCGAGACCACCTTTCCTCAAGTTGCAGACCTCTGACACTAAAGCTCACTCGTCGGCGATTACCCTCAGTAAATTACGCCTTGACCTTGAGGAAGAAAGCTTGGATTCCACGTGCACGTAGGTACTGGAGGGGCGCTTCCCTCCACAGAAGCTTCCTTGGAAACCCGAAAGGTGGTGAAAAGGCCCAATTTATTCCCACTCCTAAACGCCTGTTTGTTCCTGGGGCCACTTTGTAGCTCTAGTGTCAAGTGTCAGTGTTAAGACTTAGGTTTACTTAAGATTTAGGTTTCACACCCAGGCTCTCACTTACCAGGTGTGACTTGTGGCCAAGTCACTTAAGGTCTCTTTAAATTGAGATAATAACCCTGCAAGGTTATAGTGAGTGCGTATTTGTAAATGGTAAACTACACTCCTTCAACTTTACCCCTATTGTTCTCACACACACACACACACACACACACACACGCACGCCTTGCAGTGTCAGGGCCTTGCAGTGTCAGGAGCATACTAGGTACTCTAAAATTTCATTTTCTATGAATTAAAGTACAACTGTGAATTCCTTATTATTTCCTTATTATTTCTCACGTGTTCTTCCTTCAGGTTTGATGAAGACTTGGATATTTCCCCTACACCATATTTTAGTTTAATAAATGATGTTTTCAAGACAGAGACGCTAACAAAAACAGAGATGAAATTTAAAAATACAGCAATGGCAGAAATCATGAAACTGCACAAGCAAATAAAACAATTGCAAATCCAGCAAGAACCGCTAATTGAGGAAAGCAGACAGCTACACACTGAGAAGTTAAATGTCCAGGCTGAAAATAAACTCTTTCTGGAATACCTGACCAACAAAACTGAGGATTACAGAAGGCAAGCTGAGAGGCTCTGGAACAGTTATATACAAATACCTAGGGATTTTGAAGAAAGAAGAAAAAAATCAGCCTCCAAATATGCAAAACAAACAGCAGTACTTGAAATTGAGCTCATGCGGAGTGAAGAGATACAACTCAATTTGACGCAGCAGTTGGAGTCAATGAGAGACCTTCTGATATTAAAGGAGAAACAGGAGAGAGAAATAGAGACACTGCAGGAGGAAAAAAAGAAAACCCATGCCGAAACACATAGGAAAATACAAGAAAGGCTGGTCCCGTTCCTCCAGGAAAAAGCAGTCCTGGAGAAACAACTGAGTGAGCCAGACATGAGGCAGTCTGGGAAAAGAAAAAGAAAACCTAACAGTTTCCGAGACATAGAGTTAGCAGCAAGGCAGCACAATTTTGAGTTCCACTGTGGCATCAACAGAGAGAATCTGCAGTTACAAAAGGAATTACTGCAGCTAACCAAGCAGTTCCAGAAATTGCAGTCTGCTCAAAGCAAGTTAAACACTAAGAAGCAGCAACTGCAGCAGGAACAGTGGTACATGGAATGTACAAAACGGGGAAGGCAGCGACTGCAAAGATTGCATAACTGGTGCCCAGAAGGGCAGGATGCTCCAGAAACGACAGTGACCCCTCCCCTAGGTACCAAGTCAAGGATTAATACAAAGTAATTCCTAAAATAACACCAAGAACTGGAGCAGGTATTCTTAGGTGCTACATAAAACTGGTTCGGAAGGTTTTTGGATCTTAGATTGCTGTGGTAAAATAGCCATCAAAATAGGATTTGCTACTTTACCCTGCAGTATTCTATTTGTGTGGTGGGCTCCTTGAATTAGATTTTCCAGGAGTCCTTCTTAATAAATCAGGGCATTCCACAATCCTTCAGATAACCTACTATTTACATACTAATACCTCAAGAAAACCACCTTGAGGAGAGGAAAGGAACAGTTGTGTGATTTCATCTGGCTGAGGTAGATTTCTTTATAGAATAAACAGCACCCTTAAGGGCAGCATTTCAAATTGTGGTAGGGAATGCTTTCTCCTCTATAAGCAACCACTATCAGATTATCCTCATTGCTTTTGGCCAACTCAGCATACAAAGTGGTTTTAAGTGCCTTTTAAAGTTTAAGCTGGTGACCAGGTCATTCCTTCTATAAAGTCTTTTCATGAGTGAAATAGTACCCTCTAAAAACAGCAAGTTCAGTGAGTCCTAGACAAAAAGACCTTTTATCTGGTACTTAGCCCCTACAAATCTGAGTAAATTGAGGGGAAGATAAAGTAGATGTGTATTAGGTGAACCCATGCTTTAAGTGTTTTCTTTGAAGAAACATCTCCAGCATTAATAAAAAAGCTAAATGCCTCTGCTCATTTAAAAATAAAGGTTTTAAAATATTTGGACAACTCTTTAAAGAGTTGTACTATTTATATTTATAGCAACATCCTAAGGTCTAAGGCAGTAAGTATTTAATGGTAAAAAGAGAGCAGATACTTTAGTTACAGGTCATTTATTACATTTTCTTACAGTGTGCACTTAAAGAAATGACTTTTACAGTAATATGTGCCATATATTTATGGTACTGGGAACAGCATTTTAAATTAGCATAGACTTGCAGGCTTTTTTTTTTTCTCTATGACATGTTGATAGACTCTTGATTTAAATGCTAAATCCTAGTATAGGAATATAACACCGATTTAACATTGGTCCTAACCCTAGGCTTAACTTTATTTTCCAAAAATTGTCAGTGATGAAATGCAAAAAAATTCTCCTAAATTTTGTTTTATTCATGTTTAAATGGTATTTATTTAAAATTGAATTTAAAAAAGGATTGCCGGTGTCTATAACTTCTAATATAAAGTTGTTAGCTATGAAACAATTTTTGATATTAAAAATAATGATTTTAGATTAAAATGTATCTGATTTGTTTCAGTATTTTCTACTTCATTACTCGTATTATCACATCTGCATGTCCTATACTAAATGTATATAATAAAATGCAGTTTTAATTGTAGGAAGTAGAAATTTAGATAGCATGCAGATAGCTTTACCTATTTTCATTCATGGTATTTTCAGAACTTGAAAAACATGGTATCCAAGACAAATTTGAAGTCCTAGTATGTAATTTGAAAAAATTAACCTAGGAAAACAGGTATTTAGTTTGATAAGGAGTCAAACAGAAGGGATCTACAATCCTTCTTACTATTCTGTTAACTCCCCTCCTGCCATTGCTGTCCTGATTCTATCAAGAGTGGTTAACTCCCAACTCAGCTTATTTTTAATTCCTGTTACCCCAGATAATGGATCTGAAATACTGTTCTAGGCTCTTTTCTATGCGGCCTCTGGGGGTTGAACACCTTAGAGGGTGAATAATCTGATACATATATTTTGAAATTCACACATGAGTGGGCAGTAAATTGGCCAACTAGATTTCAATCTACTTTTTGTTTGCTTTGCTATGAACATTAAACTGGTGACATTATAGAAAGCATGTTTAGATGGAAAAGACCTGAGACTAAGGTTAAGATCTGAATTATAAAAATAAGCCTCCAGCACAAAACCTGGGAAAGACCTCTGCAAGCAGAGGGGACAGTTAATCAAAGGCCTGAAATGAGAATGAGCTTGGTAGCCTCAAGAAACAGAAAAATTAATGTAGCTCGAGAACAGAGAATATGGATGGAACAGAGGAAGAGACTAAAAAGGTTGGCACAGAAGCACCGAGAGTCTTCCTTGTGGGACAAGGTAAAGAGAGCAACTTCTATCTTTACTTTTATGTATCTTTTGTTCTAAGTGCATTGGAAAACCATTAGGCTTTTAGCAGGCTTACAATTTTAAAACTCACTACAAGTGTTATGTGGAGCGTGTCCAAGCCAGTAAAAAGCAGAAGAAAACCTATTAGGAAGCTATTGCCATATAGGCAAATGGTGATGGTTTGCCTGGGATTCTGTAGAAATATCAATAGAAAGGAATGAATAGAAAACAGGAGAACAGACTTAGCTGTGGGGGAAAATCAAAGGTTAAAATGAAGCAGAAATAAAATTTCTAGAATGTTTCCTTTAAGGAGGTGAGAATGTATTTGTGTGAACTAATTTTTAAGAAGTACTGCAGATATCCAGTATATATAGCAAACTCATTATCAACTTTAAGAAATAATTTACAAATTCCCTCATCATTCTCTTGAATCCCAGCAGCACTATCCTAAACATGGTATATGTATTATGATTTTGATATAAACTATATATTTATACATACCCAAGACAAGAGATCACTATTTTTAAACTTTAATTATACACTTGATAGTCTAACTTGCTTTCCCCATAGTTTTTGAGATAATATGCATGATTCAAACCCTAGTAAATTTCATAGCTGTGTAGTATTCCACTGTATGTCACAAAATATTCCTTCTCCTGTTGATAGACAATTAGGTTATATATTAGAATATACTAACAAAGAGACCCAAGGATGTATTATCTCAACAGACATTTATTTCTTATTCATATAAGAATCTCAGATAGATGTTCCTGGTGAGCAAATAATCCTTCATGGGGTGACACAGTCAAATATCTTCCATTTTATACCTTCCATTTTATACTCCACCATCCCCGACAGCCTCATTATCATCTGCATGTAGCTTAAGGAAGGGACAAGAAAGAACACTCACTCTCTTAATTTAAAAGTTCTTGCCTGGGGCATCCCTGGTGGTACAAGGGGTTAAGCCTCAGCACTATGAAGCAATCTGTTATGAGTTTGATCTCCGGGTCAGGGAGCTGACCCACATGGTACAACAGACCTCTCCTGTTTTCCCATTGCTCCCCTTAGTATATTTCAATTAAGTCGCCTGTTCTGCTCCCCACTCTTATCTGCTGAGTTTTCTCACCCACCCCGTACTTCAGCTGTACCCCAGTTCGTGTACATACATAAATCTTAAAAAAAAAAAAAAAAAGTTAACACTCCTGAGGGAAAAAGTCCTTGCTGGGAAGTGACACATATCACTGCCACTCACACTGCACTGATGAGAAGTTAGGTGCCCCCTCACTACAGGGGAAGGGTGGGCATAGTAGTGTGTGACGAGAGCGAGCAGATTTGGTGGGCTGCTAGAAGTCTCTGCCACAGTTGTTTCTGTTGTAAGCTGCCCCATAATCATCATTATTTACATTTCCTGGCAAACCTGGGCAAAACATTTCTCTGTATCTACCTACGAGTGAAATTATTGAGCCTTAGGGCATATCTTTAACTTTACTAGATACTGCCAAATCCTTTTCAAAGTGACAGTATTTATAATCCAAACTGTACAGTAGAATTGACACTGCTCCATGACCCAGCTTTTCCTGATGTGGCAAACCGAAACTTCTGTTATTCTATTTTTTTTTTAACTTGACTTTTTAATAACTTAAAAAGTTCAAGAGGATGATACTAAGTCCCCCTGGTCCCTGGCCTCAGGAAGGAAAAAGGGCAGGCATGCCTGGATTGAGATAGGCAAGGTTCCTGTACTAATTCACGTTAGTCTCAAATGATTTATTTTAACCAGCATACTTTTAGGTGCTAAAGAACTACTGAGACAATTGTATTTACTTCCAATTGGTACTTATCCAAATCCTTTCCACTTCTAGCATTCTTTCACCCCCTCCCCGACCAAGACAGTGTCCATAAGGAGTCAAATAGCAGGCTGGAGTCAATGAACAGCTGAAAACATCATTCTAAATGAGCCATTTATTCTTGTCATTGCCAAACATTCCCAAGTCTTACTCACCAGAAATTAACACAGTTTCTTCATTTCTCCTCCCTGACAATCCTCATCTACTGAAAGGGCTTTAAGGGTGAAACTGCCAACGAAATACAGAATGGATATACCACATCCTTCACTTGTTTCAAAAATACCTATTCTGGCAGTATTCAAATCAGGTTTCAATGTTCCCTTGTTTGAAAGTGGTCTTCACAAAAGCCCACATTTTAAAGCTATATGGAAGAGTGCAGAGAAGAGATAGGAATAGTAACAGTCATTCAGAATTTGAAGGTAGTACTTGTCCATATCCAGGGCTAAGGGCCCCTTGCTTCACAGAAATATATAAGACCAATATTTATGAAAAAGGGGAAGAGAATCCAGAAACACAACAACAGAGCTGCTCTAACCAAGGTTCCAGAGAAGGTCAGCTTCAAAGAGAAGTAGCCCATCACACATTACCAGGCAGGCATGAGGTACAGAAAAAAGAATTTTTCTTTCCAACTCCAGATAAATATCTACATCTGGTGCCAAAGTCTCAGGATATAAAGAAGATACAATTCCACATATAAAAGGGCACAGAGGACAATATTATCAGAAAATTCAGAGACAGGGGTTGGCTAAAGGGTGGGACAGGGTTCAGCGGGTGCAGACTAACAAGTGAGGTCAAGTCCAGGGGAGAAGGACCCTGGCTACCAATCTTAGTGGCACGATCAGGAACACAGGGTACTGTGTCAAAACGTCAGAGCCAACACGGTATTTCTCAATCCTTAAAACCGCAGGACAAAACAGCTACGGAAGGGCACTGACCATAGCAACAGATGAAGCATCAAGCCCTCGGAGAGCAGAGGTGGTATTTATTGCTTTTTCTATTTTCTTCTTTCCGGTCATGTTTAACATTGGGACACATTCCTCCTACACCTGCTTGTCATACCTATGGTTCTAGTCATTGCCTGTTGAGGTAAAGCATCCCAGTCACACCAATGTAGGGCGCTTCTAGCTTTTGTAACCTAAAACCCATTTTCTTACTTTCAAACCTAAACCATATGGAGAGAACAAAATCTCAATAAAGTTTGCTTTCCAAGGAGCCAGTAACCCCATTACATGATGGACAACAGTCCTAGCTTGTAGGCTTATTATATCACAAATACAAAATGGTAAATCAGCCTTAGTTTTAAGAAATTAGTTTGGAATTACTTCACAATCTAGATGATGGAGTGACTACTAAGTCAATGGAGCTTCCGAGAACATTCTACACCCCAGGAAGGAAAGGACAACCAAACAAGGTTTTTAGTCTTACACAGGGCAAGAGGAGCCTATAGTTGACCTTAAGAGGGGACTCTTTGGGCACAATAAGGAAAAACAAGAGGACTTCAATGAGGAATAGCAGAGAAACCTACCCAAAGGGGGTGGGGGAGCAAAAGGGGGTGACAGAGAATAAGGAGGGAAAACAGTGAAATTTACACTGGAGGAAGGAGCTGAGAAGGTCACAGTCTTCGACAGCTGAAAGAGTAGTCTCCTCACCAGCCCCACGACCCGACCCCCAGCACGGGTGCCTGTGACGGCAGCACCACATCCACGCTCCTGGGAGCGCTTCTCACTGACTGTCTACTTCCTTCCTCGTTTATGATTCGTCTTTGAGAGCTTTACTTTCTGGAACTGTGCTGGCACTGCCTCCTGCTCTGCTTCCTTACAGGAGGTTGACACTAGCAGTTCCTCATTACTCCTCCTCTGACCCTTCCCTGCTCTAAGACTCAGCTCTGCCTCAGGCAGCTCCATGGCTGGCTGCTGCCGCCGTCTCAGAGACCTTCTGCTCCTGTGCTGCTGCCTCCGCTTCTCCTCCTCCTGCTGCCGCTGCTTTATCTTCATCAGCTTTTCAAAGCTTTTGGTGGTTGTTGGGTTTACAACGAACCAGTCCTGCAGAGGCAAACAGAAACCTCATCAGTCAAAACCGTGGAGAGCATAAAGAGGGCTGTGGGATGAGTTTTGTAAGGCAGGAGAAGGCTGGGGAAGAACACAGCAGGCTACAGTTCTGGAACCATGGCTTAGAACACTATTTTATATTGCAGGAATTCAGTACCGAGTAGTCCTGACAGGCATGATATGGTTTGGGGTACTTCACGAAAGAATCAAGTCAATTTACTTATCACCACCCCAACCATTTCTCCTTCCCAAAGACCTCATCCTGAAATATTAAGCATGGACTACAGAAGATTTTTTGTTTCATACTAAGGAGTAATTGCATGAATTTGCAGCCAGACCTCCTGAGTGCAACCCTCAGCTGTGTTCTAGTTCAGTGGCCATGAGAAAATAACCTCTCTGAGCTGCAGCTTGAAAATTCAAGGAGTAGATTCATGGAATCCAACTATGAAGTACTCTTACAGCAAAAACAGAAAAAAGGAATTTAAATCTAAATCAAATAACAGTTTAGAAGAAATACCCAGAGTAGAGGTGCACCGCCCCAGGGATGCAATCACAAAATCCACAATAGGGGTAAACAAATGTGAGGAGAGGTCCCATTTCTTCAACAAGTAAAAAAAGGGGAGGGGAAACCGCCAGACCTGCACTGTCTAATAAAACAGCCACTAGCTGTTTATTAGCCACATGTGGCTACTCCAAACTGAGATAAGCCTGCAATGTAAATACACACTCAGTCTCTAGACTTGGTGTGAAAAAATGTATTAGGTATCTCACTATTTTTAATTGACTACATGTTAAAAAGACAGTCTTAGATATATTAAATGTATCATTTATGAAGGCTGTGGTTTTTTTTTTTACAGTATTTTTCAAGTGGCCATGAAAGTTTTAAGTGATACGTGGCTCCCAAGACAGTTTTATTGACTAGTTCCACTCCAGATGAAACAGACACACGAGATAAATGGACCCTTTTTTTAGGCCCCAATTTGAATAAATAGGGAAAAAAATTACAAGACAAGCAGAGGAATTTAAATAAAGATGGGATAGATGATACAGAGAATTATAGTTTGTTTAAGTGTAGTGAGGGTTGTGGTTATGTATTTTTAAAAGTCCTTGTATTTTATTTTTAAAGATTTATTTTTATTTATGCATACAGGAACTGGGGTGTGGCCAGAGGTGCAGGGGGTGAGAAGATTCACCAGAGACAGAGTGGGGCGCAGAACAGGTAGATCTACTGAAATATACTGCTGAAGGGAGACAGGAGAGGTCTGATCTTCCATGTGGGTCAGCTCCTGACCGGGGATCAAACTCATGCCATGGTGGCTGATGGCATTGAGACTTTAACCCTTATGCCACCAGGGAGGCCCAAGTCCTTATATTTTATAAGTCAAACAGATAAAGAAACATTTGCACCTGACTGCAAGTGAAGCTATTTTAAATGAAGCCTTTAAGAAAGAAGGAAAGTGCAGTTGTAAATGAAACTATCCAAGCTTTCATTATACTGTACTGTCCTTTTTCTGTGTTTGAAAATTTCTGTCAAACAAAGTAGTATAAGAAAGTGTGAGGCAGAGGGAGAACAGAGTAAAGATGCTTTACTACCACAGCTAATTCAAAAATATAAGATTAACCAATAAGCAAGTGCTCAATGAAATCTGTTAAGTTCTAACTCGGCTAGTTCCAGCTTTTAAGGAAGAAAACAAGGTAACTATAAAAAACAGATCTTGTCAGGAGATAATTATCTTTCAAATATTTCCTGATGCATAAAAGAGTACACTATTACTACTTAAAAGGTATGACTGCTTCCAAACCTCAGATTATGGAAAGGAACTCCCAAAGTTTATGCCAGTAACGCAACAGGAGCCACACATCTGATGACACTAAAGCACAGAACTACTGAACTCGAGGGCAGAGAACAGCTAACGCCACTCCGCCTCTCCAGGTTAAGAACAGCTTCTGCAATACAACAGTCCATGAGAACGCACACTCCAGTCCTTGAGTTTTTGCAATATATGATAACTATATATTTAAACATATTATAGTTATTTTTATTTTTGGAAATTAAAACCCTGTGGAGTCCACAGGACTACAAAACAAAAGGGGAGCGCAAAGATCTCACCTCAGCGTGGACAGAGTTGATATGATACTTGACACCACTCTCTGATACAAATTCTTTCTGACATAGAAGACACTTATATTTTCCAGCAACAAAGGTTCCCTATTTCCAAGAAAGAAAAAAGGAAGTATTAGTAAATTTAGGAACATACACCTGGGCTGAATAGGGATTCTACTTTGGCAAAGGTAAGCAGGAAGAAAATCACTTAGGCAACAACTTTAGGAAAACTAGCTAGGGCAGATAATCATTAGTACACTCCTGTCCTAACGCTGTTCTGCACCAACACTCAAACCACTTCCCCCCATCTTCTAAAACCACCAAAGTTGACCTGTTTTCACTTTAATGCATCACATGTTTCTACCTTCATTTCTTTCACTTCACTCCCGGGTTCCCTTGGTTCTACCCCCAAAATGAACAAACTCTTTCCCAGTAGAATCCACTGCTGCTGAGTGCCTTGGGAATCCTGAATGAAAGGGGTACGTCCAAAACACCCAGGTTAAAGAATCAGAAACCAGGGCCAAGATGACTGAATCCTAAGCACTCCTGGACAGTGCTGGTTTGGATGCCTACAATTCCTTCAGTGCCTTGAATTAAAATTGCTCTCTTCCTGAAGCTTCAGATTTCCATGGTGCTCACAGTTTTGAACAGAAGATACTTCAAAATGGACCTGGAAAGTGGCAGCAATCCCCGTGGCTGGAGGGTTATGTAGCATGTACATCAACATGGAGAGAGTCAGTGAGCTGGGTGGCTGTTTGCTTGACACCCAGGAACCCACCTCCCATCCCCAGAGGTCATTATAGTTCAGATGGGCTTACAGAGCCCACCCAGCCAGACAAACACATGTAAGTCAATTGCAGAAAGTTTAAGGTTCAATATGGCAAGGCAGGCTCAGCGTGGGAGGGGCTCAGGTTAAAGAAGTTAAATCCTTGGATGTGACTCAAAGGTAAAATATTTTTCTCCAAACTGCTTTAATTGATGTGCTTTATGGCTTTGTCTTTTCCCATCTTAGATATACACTAGCATCCCATCCAATAACAGATCAAGTATCTAATCCCACACCTCAAGATCAGCAAACAGGATGACTAAGTGTTTGCCTAAACTGAATGCTCTTCCATGTCATAAGATGTTCAGAAAATTACAAACCAATGTACAAGAGCCCAGATGAGCTTTAAGGCCAGAAACACTACTGTAGACAGCCTCACAACCCTGAAAAAAAGAAGAAATAATGTCAGGTCAGACAAAACAACATCCTTCCCTTAACAACCTAGCCGTTTACACTGGCAAGTTGTACATTTGGAGGAAGACCAATAAACAGCCCCACAGACTAGAGGAAGGATTCTCATGCAAGTCATAAAAGAAAGGACACTGATAAGGGTGAAGAGAAATTATTTAGAAAGCTTAAGACATTCCCTTCCCTGGAATTTTTTTCTGATACTCAGAGAAATACAGAAAACTGTGTGGTTAAGATTTTTAAATGTTCTTTAGTGAAAATGTCTTATTTTCGGTATAGTTACCTATTCCTTGCCCAAAGTACTGTATATACAATTGTGGGAGATTAAAGACAGTTACTAGTTCTTTGCTACCCTTCCCATCAACAGTGGACTCTATTTACCCTCCCTCTGAATCTGGCTTAGCCATGGAAATGATGGCACACAAATTCTAACTAGCCAGGACCTAAGAGATCTTCAACCTGCACTTTCATTTCTGTAATAGTCTCTCAGAAATCAATAGCAAAGTAGCCTGCTGGCAATTCAACTAGCCTGCTAGAGAGGCCATATGGAAAGTCGAGTTCTTAGTTTAATGAACTGCACAGAACCCATCTTGATCATTCTGGTCACTTAAGAGCTTCAAGCTCAACACAACCCATGACTGATGCCGACTGACACCACAGACAGCAGGAGAGCGGCCCTCGAGCTCCAACACTGACTGATCCACTGAATGGTGAACAAGGGAAACAACTGATGTTTTAAGCCACTATGATTCAGGTGCCTTGTCATGAAGGACTAAATAAATGAAACAGCAGCATATGCCTGATAAACATTTACTGAATAAATGAGAAGAACCACCTGGTTAGGACACTGAATGCGATGATACTTCTTAATATCTGACTTCCATTTGTGCAGGACTTCCTGGCTGAAGGTAGGTAGCCCGGGACGAGTGTATTTTAACTACAAGACAAGAAACAGTTTATCTGGAGGAATTCTACTTCCAAAAAAGTTTCACACCCAACTCTTCAGGTTTGTAATTCTGGAGTCCTGCTAGCAAATTTTCATACTCAAAAAAATTTTATGTTAAGATCCCACTTTCTGGCACAGAGTTCCTAACCTCATTAAATGTTGCTGGCTACCAGGAGCACCTTTTGTTCTAACAGGTGACTCTTAGTGGTGCCCTTAAAGAAGCAGATCAAAACCAAGCTGTGATTAACAGCTTAGAACTCTTAGCTCCACCCCTACTCTCTGAGGGACAAAATTTCATGTACAATGCTCAGGAGCATTTCTGGTAGCACACTATCAGACATAAGGTTCAAAATTAACGCAGGCTTCCACCTTACCTTCCGATCATCGGGCACCAGATCCTGAAGCACCTTCCTCTTAGGCCATTCCTTGGCCAGTTCAGCAGAAGCTAGCTCCTGCAGGTGGTAGACTGCTATCTTGGCAGAACGCCTCTGAACTCGGCCCCCACCTTTTGACTCCAGGCTCATCTCCTTTAAGCATTCTGACTGCCCTGACTCTGGAAAGAAGGAGATCTGCAAGAATGAAACAGCAAAACAGTCCTGAGAAATGGCTTTCATTAGGCAGTGATTAATGACTGCCTTCCTACTCGAAATAGGAAAAGAACTATTCTAGCTTGCTCACCACCAGCATAAAGCTCTGTAATATTAATACATGTTTTACTGGTTAAAAAAAAAGCTTAGCAGGATAAGATCTGTTTTGCTACAGTAAGTTAACTTGATTAAAAATAAGACATATCTATATGCAAACCACAAACCACACCACACACTATACACAAAAAAGGAACTCCAAGTGCTGACAAGGATATGAAGCTACTAGAATTCCTGTACTTTGCTGGTGGGGATACAAAACAGCACAGTTCCAAACAAGAAATTGTTTGGAGATTTCTTATGAATTTAAATATGCATTTATCTTATGACCCAGCAATCTAATTCCTAGTCATTTACCCAGGACAAATTAGAAGGGAGAATGCTTTAGCTTTTGAAATATAATAATGAGTTTATTTCTGCCCAAACTATACAATGAACTCTGATTCCTCTAGCCCACTAATGTTCAAAAGGCAGATATAACAAGGGAAGATAAGAGAAAACAAAGGCATTCAAAACGAAAAAGGGGTAAAAGCGAAGAACCCAGAAGGGGATGACACAAAGCATACTCCCAAATAGGGTCTGGAAAGTAGTAAGTACTCACAGGCCCGTGCTCTGACCTCAGGTGATAGGCTAGTCCAGCCTTGGACCTGTATGGCTTTCCACAATGGTGACATTTCAGGGTCATCTTCTCCAGCTCTGCAGCCCCTTTGCCACACTTCCTGACATGGTACAGATATCCCATGATGCTGGTGAAGCTACTAGAGCAACTCTAAACACAGAAGGGCTTATATTACAATCTTCTAGCTTTTGACATGATCTCTAAAATTTCTAACAGCTGCAAAGCACTCACCCACCAATTGCTACAAATGGGCCCACTGGCCTCGCCAGACCCTCTCCAACCTTTCCCACTAGCACAACCCTCCCTCGTCCATGGCCCAGTGGCTGTCCTGTCTACCAACTGACTGCTATTCAGTCAGTTTAGTCAGCATTCAGTAAGTACAACTGTACATCCCCTACATCAGCGATTCCTCCTGGGTCTCTGATCCTATGCCAACCCAGTATCAACGACCCAACAATACTAAAGTTTCTCACATCAGGCTACTAGGATCTTTTTCATCACACCAGAATAAAGAAAGGTTAGTAAGACAGTCCTCTGAACAAAAGGCAAGTGGAGAAAAATTAATTTTTGAAGATGAGAGAGAAATAAAGAACTCCCTCCACCCCCTGTGAGCACAGCTTGTCCTGGGAGGAGTATACCCAGCTGCCTCTGAGGGTACCCCCCCTCCACTTCTCAGACCAAAGTTAGGGGCTTCTTCTGTTGTAGTGTTTCTTTTTATAGCAGCAACTTACATGTGCGGGGGGTATTATTTCCACCTCTCTGTCTGTCTGCCTGTCTATGTACCTATTCATCTATTAATGGGTTCAGGAAACCTGGAAATCAGGAACTCAAGCTTCTCTATGGGAGAAGGGAAGACCTGGGGGATGAACAGCAGGAAGTCGATGGGAGAGTGCAGGAGGGTGCTGACCTCCCAGCTTACCTCCCGCATGCACCTGAGCTTGCCCAGTCTCTTCAAAACTGTTCGGAGCCGCTCCCTCTCACTTGGCTCATCTATCTCATCACCAGCCTTCAAAATGGGCTAGAAAGCAAGAGAAACAAACAAGCAGGTGACTCACAGAAAAGGCAGAGTCAGAACAAAGTCACATCCAAGGAGAATCAAAGGCTGGACTAACACTTAAGCTGGTGTCTATGAAGTCTAAGTTATCTGACTGCCGGCTTTCTCCACCTCCTCCTGGACAGACAAGGAAGTGAATGTAAGGAAAGAAGAGCTGTCAGCCTCTGTCTCCTAGGGGATGAACTTTTGCGGCTAACTAAACACAACTGTCTATGGCTCCACCACGCAAGCAGATACTCTTACCAAGCTGTTATGATTTGCCATGACGTGATACTTCATCCCTGCGAGTGAACGAAGCTGTTTCCCACAATGATGACAAGTAAACATTTCCTACAAGGAAACAAACTTCTCATTGTCAGGTTGTTCAACACAGCTAACACATCACAAAGACCTGCTCCAGTGCTCTCATCTGTACCTCTAACTTTACTCCCAAACTCAATAGTCAATTAATATTAAAATCCCACAGGTTCAGAGTCATATCTTCAGGAGCAAAGAAGTAAAGGTAATCCATTTTTTAAATAATAAATACTACCATTAGTTGGGCGCCAATATTTGCCAAGTAACAGGGTAGGCAATGAGTAGGTACTGTTTTTTTCATCCCTTCATGAACTATACAAGGTCATTACTTTATCTCCACTTTAAAAGAAACCAAGGCCCACACATAAACGAAATGTCATCAACTGAAACCTGAATCTGTCAGTAGCCAATGTCTATGCGGAGTCCGAGGCACACGGACATACAGAAGCCCGGCACTGCCTCTTGTCTCTCTCATTGGCATGCCCAACGCAGGGCAGGGGGCCTAACGTTGTAGTGAAAGATCACAATGGTTACGAAATGCCACAAAATATCTAACCTGCTTGCAGTTCTCCATATGCTTCTTTAAGCCCTCTATGGTCTTCCTCCCCACTGCCTGGCAGGTAGGGCAGGAGACACTGCCTTTATCCACGATTTCTAAGTACCACTGCTCCTCCAAACTGCCTAAAAAGGACAGAAAGAACACTGTAATCTGCAGTTTTCTCCAAAAACAAAAAAATACACTTGAATTTAGGAAAATTATAATCAAATGAGTTTATCCCCTTGATAGATAATGAAGAGACTTCTACTGTGTATAACTTCTAGAAATATTTTGGACTGAGGTGTTCCTGAAACTCCTACTAATTTCCCTATGATAAAAACGATCTGAATGCCACCCCTTTCAGCCCAATTACTTAAAGGGGCCAACAATTCCACCCCAGGTATAAATGATAGTGGGCAACATTTTTCATAGCAGTGTAATAATAATGAAAAGTGAGATGTAACAGGCAATTCGTTAAGTGTTTCCTCTACACCTGCAACTATGCTAAATTTCACATTTAGGGCTCTCCCTGGCAGCGCAATGGTTTAAAAAGTACAGCACTATGAAGTTCTCCACAGCCACTGCAGCATGAATTCGATCCCTGGCCAGGAAGCTGACCCACATGGTGCAACAGCTGTTCCCCTCAGCAGTATTATTTCAGTAGATCTCCTGTGTCACCCGCTATTCCCCTCAGCAGTATTATTTCAGTAGATCTGCCTGTTCTGCTCCCCACTCTACCTCTGGTGAATGTTCTCACCCCTTGCACCTCTGGCCTGTACTCCAGTTCTTGTATGCATAAATAAATCTTTAAAATAAATAAATAAATCATGTTTAATTTTAATGATCTCATTTCACTTTCACAACATGTCTCACTTCCTTTCCTATCTCTAGCTAGAAGACAGGGAACCTGAAGCTTGCAGAAATTTTAAAAAAAAAAAAAAAGGACAGGTCAGAAAATTAGCTAAGAGCCAAAACTTGATCTTCCAAACCCAGCCCCTTAAACCGCCTCTTTAAAGAAAGGCTTTGCTACATCATTTCTTTACTACCACCACCATCAACAAATCAGAATGAGAGCATTAGATCCCCAAAAAGCTTCCAGCAGAAAGCATACCTGCTGCATAAGCCGGGGGTTCCTTCCGAATACGACGAGCCTGGGACTTGGGGTTAGGCTGAGTTTTAGGCCGTTGTTTCCTCCCTGACACAAGACAGAAACTTGCAACATGTCACCTTTGCCAAAATCTCTTCCCTCCTCTTCTCAATGCCCTCTGGCCCACTCCCTCAAACAATTGACTCCTTTAAGTCATGACAGAAAGAAAGGGTAAGATTAGAGCAGATGGCGGTGATTCCTTGCCAAATAATTCAAGGGGCTCAAGAGTGCTTTGAGCCAAAATCTAAGGTCACTCTCCCTTTTACTCTCAAAGGATAAAGCCCAGGCACTCAGGGAAAAATAGTGAAGCTACTCCCTTACCATAAAGCTTATGCTTCTTCTGAGGAAATTCTCGATAGTCCTCATCTTCTTCCTGCCTGGGTTTTCTTTTACCTTTGGTTGATATTCCACCTGACCCTGCAACATCATACAAAAACAAAGAACTCAGCATAGTTTATAAGTGAACATCTGGACCTGTCTTAAAACATCACTTACAAGATCATTAAAGGAATAGAGCCTCAGTGAGAACAGACCTCACAGAAGTTTCTGGGACATTTTTAGAGAAACTGGTATAACGGCATTAAATGACTCAACCTCCCCTTTTTCGTTCCATTGTTCTCTATCCCTAATGATTGACTGCTCCCTATGCGTAATAAGGCAGTGTGCTTTGATCTTGATTTGAAGATCAAGATCACTGGAGCAGAAAATTGTTCAAGGTCAAGAGCTAGGAAGGACCCTTGAGACTATCACCATCAAAAGATTCTCCCCAGAATAACCCACCAGTTCTTAACCTTAACAGAAGATCAAAGCAGAAGAACAATGGGGAAAAAAGCTAAAATCATATGAAGAGAACAGGCTGATACCAGGATAATCTGAAAGAGTAAGATCAGCAGAATTACACTCTGTAAAACAGAGGGACAATTTATGAAGCTAACTCCTTAACAACAACAACAAAAAAAACCTTAATCACTAATAAGAAATTGCTATGTGGCACCTGATACTTTAAAAGCCATTTACAACAGCTACCTCTACCTCACAACATAGCTTCAGAGGATGCTCTCTGTCTTCACAATTAATCACCAATAGTGATACCTTCAACATGGGACGCTGCAGCTGTCTTGATTCTCCTCATCTTCATCCAATAGGTAGATTTTCGGAAGGATGCTGGGAAATCACTCACTGGCTCACATGATGAAGCAGATGAGGAGCCGCTTAAGGAGTCATCGTGAGGAATAGTGTACTGGAAACTATTATCCTTTATGGAGCACTGGGTCCTGCTACTAATATGACACAAAATATTAAGTACCACAAAAAGGGTCAAGTAAAGTTCCTATTTATTACTTCATATCATATAAAATAACCAAGTTGATTACCTGTGCAAAAAGCTAAAAAGTATGACAATAAAACCGATTTTGATACTGATCTAATACAACATATACAACTATTATATACTTCATTGTAATAGTGAAGCATAAACAGACTACATAATCACTCTGTAACCGAAGCAAGCACTCCTTCCCATGCAAAAAAAAGTCATCGATATAATAGGGTGTTCTGTGACCCTTCAGAAGACCATCTAGAACTGTAACCAAGTATGCCCAGGTCTTCCTAATTCTGACAGAGGGAAAATAACTAACAGTATCCCTGAGAATAAAGAAGGAACAGAACAGCTTGGAGGCCCTATTCAGAGATGGCCCATTTCTCCCTTCGCCCCCTCACAAAACCCTGATGTTAGGAATGCCCTGTCTTGTTTACGCACCATGACACTTAGCTCCCAAAGCTAGAGGAAGGGTGCTATGAAAGCCTAATTGCCTAGACATACCTGGTATACAGCTAGATCCAAAGCTAAGACTAGTCAGTATGTGGCTCACTAACATTCCTTGGTAAATAAAGTACCTTTTAGGTGGCTCGGGATACCACAAAGAAGTTTCCAAAGTCTGAGGACGCCCCCTTCCAACTAAACATCTGTGTTGAGGACCAGTTTAGATTTGTCATTAGAAAGGTCACTGTGGTTATTGTATGGAAGAAGACCTTGGGGCAAGACTGATTAGAGGGTAAAGAATCAGCAGCTCCTTGCAACACTATAGGTTAGAGATGAGGAGGGCTTGAACTAAAGTTTTGTGGTAGAGATAAAGGTGACAGATTCATGGTAACACTCAAAGTAGAGCTGGTAAGAACGGCACACAGAGGTTGTTTGGTGGCAGCAGGGAGTTGGAAGTAACACAGGTGACCGTTCCCAGGAAAACAGTACGTAAAATGTAATAGATGTCTACTATGTATGCACTTGTCAGAAGCAATAAACCAGTTCTATACACAGAAACATGAACCAACTGAAAAGCCTTCTACTGTATGCAAAAAGAAAGATCTACGTAGTACAATGTCAATTCTGTAAATTAAAAATACACGCTTCACACTTATAGCACTAGTCACAAGAATTTAAAAACTAGTATCAAACTTATTAATAGAGTTGTCTCTGGGAGGAAGGAGATTGAAATGGGAAGGGGAAAAACAAAAAATTACAGGGACTGATGATATCAGTATGCAACAAATAGGAAGAAAATGCCATTCAGATCTCTGTACATGAAATCCAACATTGCAAGTTTAATACAGAGAAGTCCTAATTCTGGCATGATAGCATAAGTCCACCTTAGCCCATTCCTCCTGCTCGTCACCACTAAAAACGCTAGATTTTAAAAAGTACACAAAAGCCGGTATTTTGTGAAAGAATCTGAGAGAAGTGATCCACAGAGAGTTGTAATTTTTCCCTCCCTGCAAGCAGCAAAACCAGGATAGGCCCCACTGCAGAGCAGCATGGGCTGCATAAATACTGCTAGAGAAAAAGCAGGAAAAGGAAACCTAAAGACTAGGGAATATGGCAGCATCATGAAGAGCACACGCCATAATTCTGTAGAAGAATCCAAACAAAACATAAATACCCTGAAATACATATCTGCAGCACATACCCAAACCATTATGTAAAAAGCCTAAAGAACTGAAACATCTGAATATGTTTCAGACCAGCCCCTGAGCTATTCATGTATAAGACAGACCTAAATCATTACAGTGTTCACTCAAAGAATGAGCTGAGTTTGAATCAGTGCCCTTAGAAGGCAAGACAGATCTTAGGGCCTCAACCTAACAGGTTACCTGCTAAATAAAAACAGAAAACACTCCCCAAAAGGTTCTAAAAATATCCCCAAACCTACACAAAAAAAACAATCTTGAGAATAAATTTCAAAATTATGCAACAAAGAACCAGAAAAATTCTCAAAGGAAAAGATGATAAACAGATGTCAATTCTAAGATGATCCAGATGTTTGAACTATCCAAGACTGTAGGACAGCTATTATATGCTCCATGAAATAAAGGAAAAGACATCTGAAAGAAAAGGTAGTAATTACCAGCAGGAAAAAAAAATAACCAAATGAAAAGTTAGAACTGAAAAAAAAAAAAAACCCCAGTATTTGAAATAAAAACTCACTGCATGGGCCCTCCCTGGTGGCGCAATGGGTTAGGACACAGCTCTGCAAGATGGCCGCAGCCTCAGTATAAATTGAATCTCCGCCTTGAAGGTGATCTACATGGCACAGCAAACCTCTCCTGACCAGTCCGCTGCTCCCCTCAGCAGTGTACTTCATCCATCTGCCTGTTCTGCTCCCCACTCTGTCTCTGATGAATCTTCCCACTGCCCCTGGACCTCTGGCCTGTACCCGAGCTCTGTATGCACAAATAAATAAATCTTTAAAAAAAAAAACAAAAACTGCAATACTCAAGCTTTTAAATAAAAAACTCACTGGATGTGCTCATTAATAGAATGAAGATGACAAACAGCCTGTAAACTTGAAGACAAATCAACAAATTATCTAATCGGAAGAAGAGAAATGACTGAAAAACAAAGATCTCCAACACAATGTGGAACAATATCAAAGATACTGCTGTTGTGTGTAATTGTAATTCTAAAAGAGAAAATGAGGCAGAAAAATGCATGGAAAAAAAATCACGAAATTTAATGGAAAAAAAATCCCAAATTTAATGGAAGACATTAACTTACAAATGATAAGGAAGTCAACACTCAATTGGATAAATTCAAAGAAAAGCATGCATGTGACTGTCAGTCACAAGACTGTTCAAACCTTTTTTTTTTTTTTAATCTAGAAAGCAGCTAAAAAAAATTACAGGGAACGATTGAACCAACTAATAATGGATTTCTCAAAAGAAACAAAGGTCAACAGAATTCAGTACAGCAATATCTTTAAAATACTGGGAGATTGAAAAAAAAAATGAAATACTGAGAAAAGATTTATCAATCCAAAGATTTATATTCAGTGAAAATATTCTTTAGATAAGCAAAGACTAAGAGAATTTATCATCATCAGACATGCTCTATAAGAAATGGTAAAGGAAATTATTCCAGTTGATGTAGGAGGGGCAAGGGAACATGAAGTTGAGGGGGGAAGGGGACAGGATGAGAGGATTCACCAGAGACATAGTGGGGAGCAGAACTGGCAGATCTACTGAAATGCACTGTTGAGGAGAACAGCAGGCAAGACAGGAGAAGTCTGCGGTGCATGTGGGTCAGTTCCCTGGGCAGTGGCTGGTAATAAGTTGACAGGGCTGAGACTAACCCCTGTACCACCAGGGAGGCCCAAATTTGGTTTACTTTAAATGAAGGGAAAACAATAGAAACAGTAAGTAGTTGGGTAGATATAAACACTGTAAAAGAAAAAATTAACATTTGGTAAATTTTTTAAATATATAGCACAATGTAGTTATAATAGTCATCACAGAAGGAGTTAAAGGAATCGATCTGATTGTGAGACTTCTACACTTAAGTGATGTGGTAGGATATTAATTCTAAGTGAACAAGGAAAGTTTAAATATGCATCTGTATTTCCTAAAGGAAGCACTTAGGAAGAGTGTGAAGGTAGAAAAGAACAAAACACAGAGTACACACAACAAATATTAAAGTGGCAGACCTAAATCCAATATTACCAATACTAAAATAATTATAGTCTAAATACTCCAGTGGAAGGTTACAGATTAGCAAAGTAAATGAAAAAGCAGTAACAACAGCACATATTCCCTACAAGGCATACTATAAATATAAAACATGAAAAATTTATAATCCACAAACATAAGTGGCCACTTTAAAATCACATGAAATTTACGTCAAGACAGAGTACTGCAAAAGGTTAAAAAGGTTAAAAGTAATAAATCATTAGGAAAACATAATTACTCATTGTGTATGTTTAATAACAGAGGCTCAAAGTATACAAAGCAAACCTGAGCGAAATAAAGGGAAAAAACAGACCACTCGATAATCTTAGAAAAGTAAGATCCCCTTCCCACTCTCAGCAATTGAAAGAATTACACAAAAACTCAGTAAAGACAAAATCTAAACTATACTAATAGACACCTTGTTGTATTTGACATTTATAGAACATAATTTCCAACAACAGGATATCATTCCTTTCACGTGCACATTGCGTATTCACCAAGATAAATCACATGGTAGGCCAAAAACCTTAAACTTAAAAAGTTCTGATCACTTCAGAATCCAATTGGAAATCAATAATAATAGAGTATTAAAGTAAAAAGGAATCTAGAATTTAAATAAATCTAAATAATTCATGGGTCAAAAATAAAATCACAAAGAAATAGTAAAAAAAATTTTTTTAAAACACACAGACAGCAAAATTTGTGGGGTGCAAACAAAGTAGTATTTAGAAGGTAACTGAAACCTCTAAAAACATGCTAGAAAAGATCTAAAGTCAATGATTTAAGAGTTTATTTTACAATATCTTAAGAAAAGCAATCTCAAAACTATAGAAGGGAAAACTATTATAATAAAGAGGAGAAATTTATGAATTAAAGAAAAGGAAATACAAAATCTACGTCTTTGGGGGAAAAAAATCAACAAAGTTGACAACCCTTGTAGTTCAACTGTGTAAGATAAAGATACCACAAATACCCAGTGGCAGAATGAAAGAGGATTATCACAAGTATACAGATATTACAATAGTAAGAGAATACTTTGAACTTTATGCAAATAAATTGACAAATATGAACAAATTTTTTGAAAAACATAACTTAGCAAAATTGACATAAGAAACTGTAAATCTGAAAACCTGTGTGTATTAAAGAAATTAAATTTGTTATCAAACCCTTCCTCAAAAGAAAACTTGAGACCCACATAGTTCCACTGTTGAATTCCATTGCAAAAAGGCTTTAGAAAAAAGTGGGAGTGTGGGGCCCTCCCTCAAAAGAAAACTTGAGACCCACATAGTTCCACTGTTGAATTCCATTGCAAAAAGGCTTTAGAAAAAAGTGGGAGTGTGGGGCCCTCCCTGGTGGTGCAGCGGGTTGAAGCACAATACTAAGAAGCTAAAGCCACATCCACATGAGTTCGCTCCCTGTCCTGGAGGTGACCCGCTTGGCGCTGCAGACCTCTTCTGACAGGCGCGCTACACTGCTCTCCTCAGCAGTGTACTTTCGTGGATCTGCCTGTTCTACTCCCCACTGTCTTGGGTGAAGCCTCGCACCACCCCTGCACTTCTGGCCTGTACCCCAGTTTTGTATGCATAAATAAATCTTTTAAAAACAAAACCAAAAAGTGGGAGTATGGAGAGGATGGTGGGTAAGCATAAACATCAAAAGGAAAAAATAAAACTGCCCCTTCTTGCAAATTGCACAAAACAATCACTAAAATTAAAAATGAGTTTAGCAAGTAGCAGAATTCAAGGTTAAGACACACAAAAATTAACTGCATTCTGAGCCACTAACAACAAACTAAGAAATGAACTTATAAACAAAAATAGAAAATACCTAGGAACAAGTCTAAGAAATGACATTCAATATTTTTACAATGAAAATTACCACACATTAGTGAAATAAATGAAAGGAAACGAATACAAAAATATAGCATGCACATAAATAAGAAAATTCAGTATTATTGAAATGGTAATTCTTCCTAAAAAATCTACACATTCAATGTCCCCAGCATGCTTTTTATAGAAATTAACAAAATGATTCAAAATTTATATAAAAACACAAAAAAGCAACAGTCAGCAACTTTGAAAAAGTAAAATAGAAGATTTAAAACTTCTGCTTTTCCAAAGACCCCATTAAGAAATTAAATGTAAACCAAAGACTGGGAGGAAATATTCAAGGTGCATCCAGCAGACAAAAGAACTGTAAACAGAATGGTTTTTTAATACTACAATTTAATAACATAGAACCCAATTTTTTTTAATGGACAAAATACATGACCAAACACTTTACAAAAGATATATAAATGGCCACTAAGCACATGAACAGGTATTCTATATCATTATTCATTAGAAAAGTGCAAATTAAAGCCACAATGAAACATCACTTTAGACCCATTCAATTAGCTAAATCTAAAATTTTGCTCTCCCACACTGCTGACAGGACTATAAAATAATATCATTCTGGAAAATAGAAAATATGAAGTTAAACATATTCTTGCCATATGAGCCAACTAATATTGAGATTAAAAAAAAAAACAAAAAAAACCAGGCCCTCCCTGGTTAAAGCATCAGTGCTATATCAACCTAACACTGCTCCAAAAGCTAGATCCCAGCCAGAGCTGACCTGCATGGCACAGCAGACCTTTCCAGTCTCTGCTGCTCCCCTCCGCAGTGTATTTCAGTCAGTCTGCCTGTTCTGCTGCCCGCTCTGTCTCTAGTGAATCCTCCTACCCCCTGCACCTCTGGCCTACACGCCAGTTCTTGCCTGCATAAATAAAAATAAATCTTTTTTTAAAAAAAGAATTGTTTCAACAGCCTTATATACAGATATTCATAGCATTTTATTTTATGCCATATTTATACTAAAACATACTTACTTTTATTCCACCAAATTGAAAATAATCCAACTGTTGGGCAAGGTAGATGGCTAAACAAATAATAGTATTTCCATAATTGGATTCTATTCAGCAATAGAATCTATTTTTCAGTCAAATCATTCTGAGAAAGGAAGTCATGCATAATTCATGATTTCATTTCTACAAAATCTGAAAAAACATGCAAACCACTGTACAGTGGTAGAAACAGGTCAGGAATATCTGGGGACAGAAGTAGAGGAAGAAATGGACTACAAAGAAACCCAAAATAACTTCTGGGAGCAATGGACACATTATCTGATTGTGTCTCAGGATCATAGAGCTGATCACACCATGTATTTTAAATATGTGCCACCCACTGCATGTCAATTATACTTCAATAAAGTTACTTTTTAAAAAATTTAATGGGAAGCAGCAGTCCTTAAGGGCCAAAACTCACCATCCAAAAACAATGGGAACAAGCTCTACTAGATAGACAGAATCAGCAGGCCATTAAGAGTCAAAGGTCCATGTAAGTCTTCTTAAGAAAATGTCTTCACAGAAATTTCTCCACTCAGTTTTGGTCTCAAACATGCCCATATTTCCTCTCATGAATAAAGACTACCGTTTAAAAAAAAAAATTCATATAATCGACATTTTGGGATTAAGCCAATGTGGTTAGGGCGTCCCTCCTTCCAGGTCTTTTTTATTTTTAAAGGATTCAAAAATTCAAAAAAAGAAAGAAAGAAAAAACAGTTCTCAAGTACACTACCTACTAATCAACTCGAGCATTATTCCTTAAAAACCAAATTTCCCTTTCCATAAATATAACAAGAAAAAAGCTTTTCTTGCAATAATAATTGTTGTCATTTATAATTTGTTGTCCTTTGCACACCTCAGCTTCTGATCACAAAGGTGAAAAAATCTAAGCTATTTTCAACTCCTTTCTGATCTAGTTTAAAAAAAAAAGGCATCCCTAGTTCATTCTCTAGATGCAAATATTTAGATTTCATTTAGAAAGTATTTCAGTTCATCTCAGAATCCATCGTGACCTTTTTTCTACTCAGTCCTCACAGATAATCTCCATGATTTCATCCTCTATTTTCTTCTCAGTTCTCAGCATTAGTCTCAAACTTCAAAATCTCCTCCTGGGAGAGTTAAAAATAAGAATCCTTATGCCCTGGCGCCAATGATTCTGATTTAGCTAATGGAAGAGGGTCCATTAATCTTCATATTTTTTTTTTACAATGATCCACATGCTATCCCATTAAATTAACAAAAACAAAACCAAAAAAAAAAAAAATGCCTCCTTCTGGCTAACTGCGTCATTCTTGGAGTTTCAAACCTGTTGGGAAGTAATTTGTTTTGGCAGCCTTTCCCTTCTGAGCTATCATCTCCATCACCCCCTCACCAAAGGCTATATTTAAACAGTTAAAAATGTTTACTATCTGTATTGTTTTGATCTATCAACCTACTCCCCTTTGAAGGCTTATGACTGTGTTTTTGGTATCTATATAAAACCTACTACACAGCTGGCGCATAGTAGACACATAATTTCCTTCCAATGAGTATCAGATAACAATAATCTTATTTTCTATGAACCAATGTTTTTGGAAAAGCTTAGCAATTCAGCATACAAAGTAAGTCTTGAAGCCGAGTGTTTTAAAAATACAACGATCTCTTACAGCCATTGTAATCAGTCCTTCCCAAGTTCATCGATGTATTTCTGTCGATGCATTTGATGTCTGAAGAAATGCAGAGCTACACTGAGTCATACGTTCCATTTTTGTTATAATTTGCCTTTTATATATTTTTGGCAAGCTAGATTCTCCTCCCCCACTCCAGGTTCAGACCTGTATTATCCAATCAGGCAGTCACTAGCTACAGGTGGGTATTTAAATTTAAATTAACCTTAAAAGCAATTTAAAGATCAGTTATTCATTCCTATTAGGCGCATTTCAAGTGCCCAAAAGCCAAGCGTGACTAATGACTACAGTACTGGGCAGTTCGAAAACAGAACATTTTCATTATCAAAAAAAGTTCTACCGGACAGTGCTGGCGACCCAATAAACGGACCTCAGAAAACCTCACTTACTTCTTCGCTCCCACGATCCTCGTGCTCCTCTGCTGCTTAAAGGTCGTGGGTCCCGGAGTCTAGCAAATCGCAAACACAGGAGTGAAACAGTGAATGCTGGGGACCACGAGCCTTGACCACAAAAAAAGATGAATCCCCTGTGCCCAGATAAAACGAAGCTCTCTTCGGGCAAACGAAAAAGGCGGCAAGATTTTTTAGGAAGTGTGCCGTCCCATCTTCCCACAGAGTCGAAGCAGGTGACACCGCCAGAGCCTCCATCTCTCCCATCCTCAACACCGTCCCAGAGAGAGGCTCTAAAAGGCAGGCGACAAAAGGGGACCACGGACACGGGAGGCACTGGCGACGTAAAAGGGACAGACACTGGGGGCGATCCGGCGAGGAGCGGGGTCCACGGCGGTGGGGAACGGGCAGGGAAAGTGCGGGGGCAGAGGGCAGGCATTCCAGACCTAGAAGGGTGGGGCCTACAGTGGGCTCTGGTAAAACCAACTCTGAGCAAGGGACAAAAGCGAGGACCGCGTGTGGCGGGCTCCACAGCGCTACCCCTAAAGCATAACGGTCAAACCGAGAAACTCACGGCGGGTACTGCACCGAGCCTGGAAGACATCACTCCCTCTCCACGCCTAACAGATTCACCCAAGGGCTCCGGCCAGGCTCACGCCACTTCCGCTCGCTTCCCCTCTCCCGGATGTGGAGTCGGCGCCGCCGAGCCCCGCTCGGAACGTTCTACTTCCGCCTAGCGGCTTCCGAGGGGGCTGCGGCCGGAGGGAGTCACGTGACAGGTCGCCCACCCTGCCCCGCCCCGCCTCTGAGACCCCGCCCCGAGATGGCGCTCGAGGGCCGGGGAAACTGGAGTTGGAGTTTGAGCAACTCTCCGAACCCCTCTCTCTCCACTCATCCCTTTGAAGGACCCGGAGTAGCCCCCCACCCTCCACTCCCCACCAAGCACACAGTGGTCTTACTAGAGGCACATGGAGATCAGTTTTTGCCCCTTTATTTACCATAGAGAAATTATAGATCCATTTCTCCCACTACCACCACCTCCGCCCCTCTTCCAAGTAGAAACTAGAAGCTCTTTCGTTGCTGAGGGCACAGGAATTGGAAGGCAGTGGTTAAGCAGGAAGGATGCCAAGGAAGGGCAGCTTGGTGAAGACCTGAGTGAGTCAATGACTATTGGGGGCAGATCTATGGTCAGGCCTCCAAACTTGCCCAGCTTTGGGGTTTTCTTGTGTCGCCCCAAGAGGACATGTTTGGATAACTCTTGAAATCTTTAGGTAAACTATGTCTGGGCCTCTCCCTGGAGGAGCTGTGCTTGAGTATGTCCTTCCATGGACTGTGATGGATTCTGTCAGAGCGCCTGTGCCTGCTCCTCTCAGAGTGATTGTGTCTAGTCTTCTCAGAGAGATTTTGATGGCTCCTTTCAGAGGGCCTGTGCAGTATTTTCTCAGGACTATTAAAGGTTTTCTCAGAGTGAACATGGTGGGTTTTCTCAGAGGGACTGCGACACCTCCTCTCAGAGGGACTGCGACACCTCCTCTCAGAGGGACTGCGACACCTCCTCTCAGAGGGACTGCGACACCTC